AAGGGCAAGCGGCGCGGCGCGGCGGCGGCGATGAGTGCCTCGGCGGCCACCGGGGTCTTCGTGCTGTCCCTCTCTGCCATCCCGGTCACTACGTCTTCAACCACCTGGCGGCCCAGCACGAGTGAGTGGGCGCTCGCGGCGGGGGTCAGCGCGGCAGGAGCCCCAGCAACTTTTCTGATGGGGCTGAGCCGAAAACTGCCGGGCAGAGGTTCGCCCGCCGGCAGGAGGAGGGGAGGCGCTCGGAGTCGCGCGGGCCAGGGTCCTGGCTCAGACTGCCATCCTTGACATTTGGCTCAATTCTGGGGCCAAGTGCCAGGCACCCTCTCCGCCCCAGCACCTTGCCAGGTATCTGGGGTTACAGAGGTCAATAAAGCAATGCCCCTGCCCTTGAAGGGCCCAGGGGCAGGGGTGGGGACGGTGCACACACCGACAGCTAGGAGCCCGGCCACATTATCTGGGGCCGAGCCTTGTTCGTTTCACATTTCGCAGGAACGTTTCCATGTATGGACACACACATACTTGTCATTTCTTATTAATTTTAGAAACTGTTGTGAATGACTAGCAGAAATAGCCCAGAACCAACAGGCAAAGACCTGAGTTCTAGGCCTGGCTTTGGCACTAACCGTAGGGACTGGCCTCAGTTTTCTGGCCTGTCAAATGGCCTCTATTTGCGTCCTATTGTCAGGATCCAAAAAGACCATGAAGGGCGCAGTGTAGCGTAGGATGGGGAGCAGGGCAGAGAAGCAGGGGCAGTTCCATGCTAAGGAAATGGGTGGGGCTGAAGGAGGACGCATATGGGTTTGGTTCAAAGCTCTGCCTCTCCTCTGTGAGGGATCCCTGGCCAAGCAATGGCAGGCCTGCTCGGGCAGTGGGAAGGGTGCCAGGACTCCGTGCCTGCTGGTGTTCCTTGCTGTCTGCAGGGAGGAGGAAGTAACCTGTTATGTTACCCACAGCAGTTGGTGCTAAGGAAATTGCATCAGTTTGTACGCCGCAAAACCTCTCCAGACCCTCAGGCAGCAGAGAAGTGTCTGCCCACCGGGTGGTGACTTCCTTCTCTCTCGCTGCTGGGGCCACCACTTGCTAACAGCCTTATCCAGACAGCACCCATCCATACTGAGTGCTCCCTAGGCACAGGCAGTGACTGCCTTTTGTCTGACCCAGTCTCAGGGCAAAACTTCCGGAAGAAGCACCTCTGGGCAGCAGATGTCATGTGTATGTGAATGTAGTGCACGGAGGACCCTGTCCTCTTGGCATTATGGGCAGTTCGACAAATATTTATCGAGTACACACTCTCTGCGTGGCACTGTTCCAAGTGTTGGGGAAATAGCTATGAATAAGCCAGAAGAGACTGGGGAGGCATATGTTGAGATAGACATTAAAAATAAAATGGGGCAACGTGAGTGACTGGGAAGAGGTACTGGTGGTCAAGGAAGCTTCTTGGAGGAAGTGCCATGAGCTGTAGGAGGTAGCCACAGGAAGATCTGAGGACAGAGCTTTCCAGGTTGGGGAACAAGGAGCAGTCCAGGGAGAAAAATGTGGCTGAGTGCAGGGATATTTGGGAGGGAGGGCAGCAAAGCTTACTGAAGGATTGCATGGCATGAAGAGGATTTGAGGATGACTCTGGGATTTTGGCCTCAGCCACTGGAAGGATGGTGATGGCATTTACCGAATACACACGCAATTATGTACTGCTGTGTATTACGGAGCACATTGCTAAGCCCTACAGAGTTTTGAAAAATTAGTTCCAACCATTCTTCCTGTCCTGCAGGTTAAAATCCCAGTAACCTTTGACTCCTTCTTTCTCCACTCCTTCCCTCCCATCCTCCCACTGTCCCCTTTCCTGTAAGTCCAGGGCTGGGCTAGCATCTGTTTCCTCTTTCCTGTTCTCATTGGCACTGACCCTCTCTGACCCAGACCAAAGTCTCCGTGGGAGTTCCCTTGTCCCAGTGTCCTGCACATTCCTGCCTCCGCCCTCAAGCCCAGCCCACCATGCTGGTGCTTTAGGCGCATTGCACTGTTCTGTGCCCCTTGGACACTCCTCAACTTCCCTGCCTCCTTGCCGTTGTTCACACTATTCCCTCTGACTAGGATACACCTTCCTCCCTGTCTCTGACTGTTGATGCCGTGCCTGAACTTTCTGGCCCAGAGTAAAATGCCACCTTTTTCTTTTCCAGACCCTCCCTCCAAACAGATGTGATCTCTCTCCCCTCTGAGCCCTCTTGGGTTGTGCTTTTCCCACAAGAGTTACTTCCCTGTGGTCAGGACCTACTTCCTAGGCCATAGCTCACCTTGGTATTGTCCTGCCCAGCACAGGGCCTTGTAGATAGTAGGCATCCAATTAAGTTTGACTTAGTTGAAGCTTTTTCCCACCACCAGACCTTTTACAAAAGCCTGAAACACAGAAAAAGCAAATTAAGTTGAGGAATCAGGAAAGGGTTGGGATCTCTGTTACACACACACACACACACTGCTCATATACCCGACCCCTGCCAGTAGCTGTCTGTACATGGAAGGGCATTAGTTATCCCAACACACACACGTTCCAAGACTAACAACTTTTCCACTCTTGAGTTAGTTGCAGCACTTACCCCTCCTCGTCACCCCTGAGTCCCTGCTGGATCCACTTCTTCCTGTTCCGAGCAATTCCTGCAGTTGGATGTCACCGAAGGACACAGATGATCTGCTGCCCCAGTTTCTCTTCATTCTTTGCTCCTCCCCTAGAGGTGGAGAGTGTGAGAGGACACTGTGAACCAATTTACACTGCTTTCTCATAGCCCAGAAGAGTGCCAGCTGTGTAATGGTCCTGCTCCTTGGTAGGAGCAGGCATAGGGGTTGTCTCCTGGCCCCTTCCTGCCTCAAGCTGTGATTAAAATGCCTGTCAGCTTACATGGCACACCTAACCTTTTCCCTCTTCACAGAATGCTTCAGCCCAGCATCGCGTTCCTGACTCACATCAGCTTTCTCTTCCATCGTCTCCTCCCTTGGCTCATCTCTATAGGAGGAGGCTAGAGCATCCACTGGTGTGCACCAGTAGAAACCTATTTCAGTCCAGTCTACCTGGACACTGGTCATCCTCATTCTTATCACAGAACTATGCCGTCCACCCATCCATCTGTCCATCCATCCATCCATCCACCATCATCCATCATTTGTCATCCTTTCATCCACCATCTATCCATTCATCCATCATTCATCATCCACCCATCCATTTCTCCTCCCTTTCGTCTCCCTTTCCTTTCCTCCCTCATTCTTCCATCAATTCTTGTACACCTTAGTCCCCAGGCAGACTTTCTGTGTCATACTCACCCAGGTATCATGAAAAATTTGCAGAGTCCCATGCCCCACCCTTGAAGTATTCTGCTTCTGTAGGTCTAGGGTGGCACTTGGCAATCTAGCTGCTGGTGGTGCCTAGAGCCCCGCCCTAACCCTGAGTGGGGGCTGGGGCCAGGTGCTGGGGAGAGGGCCTGTGGCCAGTCCCCTTGGGGCCCCACTACCTACAGGTTGGATGGATCACTTCCTGACTGACCTGATCTGACATTGCGGGCAGATTTCTGACCGACGCTTAGCATCTGCTCCAGCTGTAAGTGTGTGGAGTGAACTTCAGCATGAGTCTGTCCTTCAGCTATGGGTAGGTGTTGGTGGGCTGAGAAATCTGTGACCGAGAAGGGTACTTTCCTGAAGTCCCAGGGGCACATGGCAAAGGTTATCCAAAAGTCCTCATGTGTGGCTGTGGTGGTATGGAGGGGTCTTGGCTGAGGAGGTGGGCTTGTGGCAGCTGTCAAGGCCTGTTGACAGTGTAGCATGGCCTAGTGTAGCAGGCCATGGGAGTGGGCCAGGTGGTGCTTTGTCTGGAACTGGATGCCCTGTTGGTGTGGAGGACTAAGAGAGAGAATGTCTCTGTAGGACTGGAGGTGACCTCCCCTGCCGGGTGCGACATCTGAGTCCATTGAGATGGGTTCCTCTATGTAGACAGGGACCCCTCTTTTTCATCCATAGTGACTGACACATAGGGGGCTGTGATACATTTTTCCTCAATATTTTTTAAAATTAAGAAACAGATGATGAAGTGACATGAATTTCCTAAGGTCACTCAGTTGTGCAGTGGCAGAGTAGGTACTAGAATCCAGTCTCTTGACTGCTGACTCCACCAAGCCTTGGGCCCTAGTGCTGTCCCACTGAGGATGGACTTGGGTCCCACTGAGGAGGGACTTGGGTCCCCTGGTCTCCTTGGTGCCATGCCCCTTCCCAGGAGACAGTCCAGGAACTGTGTTCAACCTAGCCTCACCTTGGCTTCCTGGGTGTGGGGTTGGATGCTGGCCTGGCTTCCTGGGTGTGGGGGGCTGGCTGCATTCTGGCCTCTGGTCTGGCCTGGTTCAGACTCTTCCCTCCTTGGATTGGCCTCATCTTCTGGCCCCTTTGAGTATACACCGGCCTTTGGCCTTTCTTCCTTGTCCTCCTGGAAGGTGTGTGTAATTGTGACTCCTGTGTGTTCCCTGGAGCTCCGTCTGAGGGTTTCCAGCTGCCCTGAGGGAGGAGGCAGATTCAGTGGTTAGGCCTGTTGGCCACGGTGAACAGGCCTTGGAGAAGCGGATGGGCAGATGTGGGAGGACAGCGGCAGAGGGTGCTCAGATACCTCGTTCTCACAGGCGAGCAGGATGACGGGAGAGCGAGGACCTGGTAGCTCTGGTCCCTGAAAGTCACAGGGGTGGCCCAGAGGGGCCCAAGTGCTGCAGACAAACGTCATTAACTCCACAGCTTGAGGCATAAGGCAGAGGCAGAGCTGGGAGAGAGTGTGTTCAGTAGCCAGGAAATTCCATGCACCAATGTGTTTATTTTGATAAGTGACCACCTCCCTGTTCTGGTCGTTGCAGTTCCTGGACAGTTGTAGGGGCTGCTGCCCTCATCCTGCTCCTGGTAGCCCTGCTGGCTCGTGCCCTCGTCAAAAGAAAGCCGCCCCGGGACCCTCTATTCTATGGTACGTCTCTGTGGGAGGGAAGCCGCACGACACTGGGCCTCCGTCTCTTTTCCTCTGCGGTGGTGAATACTCTGAGCACACTGGTAAAGTGGCAGGAAGGGTAGGACTATTTCCGTTTGCCTCCAAGCCCATGTCTCTCCCAGGCGGTGGCCCCCACCCTCTCCCAGCCAGGATCCTGGTGGAAGGAAGGTCACTGCCAGGGCCAGGCAGGATGCCCCTCCGTTCCTGGCCCCCACACCCAGCCATGCTCAGACTTCTGACCTCGACTCTTGTGTGAGCCCCTTCCTGGCTTCAATCTGCTGCTTACAGCCCCCTCCACGTAGTGTGGAACTTAGCTGGACGTGCCTCAGCCTGCACATTTGTATAATGAGGAAAATAACAGTACTTAACCATGGAGGGTTGGTACAAACATTAAATAAGATACTATTTGTAAAATACTTAGGACCTTGACTGGCAAATACACTTGTACCTTAAATAAATAAAAACACCACTGATGGAGCACCTAGGATGTGCCTTATATGACTCCGAGCATGTTAGCAGTATCATCTTATTTAATTCTCACAACAAACATCTTCCCTGTACAGATGAAGAATCTGGCTCGGAGGCACTAAGAAACGTGGTCAAGATCACACAGTAGCGAGACGACAGTGACCCCGAACCCAAGCTCTTGCTTGTACCATACTGCTTCAGGCAGAGCAGATTTTCCCCTTTGAGATTTTCCCCTGCCAGGAACTTAGCTGGATGTTTTATTCCTCTAGTTTCTGCGAACAGCGCCACCCCCCATATTCAGTGTCCTACAGGAACAAACATTTATTTTTCTTTCTTTCCCCAGCTTTACTAAGATATAATTGATGTGTAAGTTTAAGGTGTATAAGTGATGATTTGCTATATATTGTGAAATGATTACAATAAGGTTATTCACCTTAAGGTCTTTTGCCTCACAGAATTACCATTTTGTGTGTGTGTGGTGAGAACATTTTAGATCTGCTCTCTTAGCAACTTTTCAGTACACAAGTATTTGTTAACTGTAGTCACCCTGATGTACATTAGATCCCCCAAATTTCATCTTATAACCAGACGTTTGTTATACCAAATGTACCAATAATCTCCCCATTTCCCCTACTCCTCCAGCTCCTGGCAACTACCAATCTACTCTGTTTCTATGAATTCAGCTTTTTTAGATTTCCTGTATAAGTGAGAGCATACAGTATTTGTCTATCTCTGACTTACTTAGTGTAATGCCCTTAAGGTTCATCCATGTTGCAAATGGCAGGATTTCCTTCTTTTTCATGGCTGAGTAGTATTCCATTGTGTAACATACCACATCCTCTTTATCCAGTCATCTGTTGTTGGACACTTAGGTTGCTTCCATGAATTGGCTATAAGCAATTTATTCTCCTTGCTCAAGGGTCTGCAGGTGGGCTGGGGCTGCTCCACTTTAGGCTGTGGATCTGACTTAGAGCTGTTCCATGTGTCTCCTGTTCCTGGACCAGCAGCTTCCCAGAGCATGCCTTTTTCATGGCAGATACAGAGGCACAAGAGGGACTAGTGGGAAAAGAGCCATGCCACTTAAGGCGTTAACTTGGAGCTGGCCACTGTGGCTCCACACACATTCCACTGGCCAAAGCGAGTCATTTCACCAAGCCCATTGTCAGCGTCTCCGGGAAAATTCTCTGCCCATGGTGGATTTTGGCAAAGGTAGAGGAGGGGAGAAGAATTGCAAGTAACTGATTTCTCCCAATTTGCATGTAAAAAAAAACTCTGAAGCTTAGAGAAATGATGTAACTTACCTAAGACTTGACAGCCGTTCGGTAGATGAGCTGGGCCTGTCTGAGTTCAAGGCCCATGTCCTTCTTCTGGCCCCACTCCAGCCCACCTTTGCAGACTGGTCTCCTCTGCTGTCTTCCCTCCTCTCCCTCCCCATTCCATGGAGCCCACGCTTAGCTCTGCTCATGTCTCTCCCAATTCGTCAGGCTTGAGGACCCTTGCTCCTGCGCCCTCAGCCCTCTGTCCTCATCTCTGTCACTGCAGCCTCAGGGCCAGGCTCCAGGCCAGACTCCGGCCCACTGGATGGCAGAGACTGTCCCAGTCATCTCTGACCCAGGGTTTGACACTCCTGTCGGCATCAGCCATCGTTGGTATAACGGTTAAATGATCGTGTGCTGAATGCTTCCTCTTCTGGGAGACACCTGATGTCTGATCACTGTTGATGAGATCTGGACCAAGGGCCTGCACAGAGGAGGCACAGGGAGGAGGTCTGCAGGGCAGGGTATGCCTGGGCCTTTTGCTCCCTCTGGGGAAAGTGCAAATGCTGCACTCCTGGCTGTAGACTCTGGGCACGGCCAGCTTCTCTTCTCTGTGAAGTAACCTTCCCCACTCTGTTTCTTTTTTCATATCTTTATTCACCATCAGATTTTTCTACTGTCCATGCCCACCACATCATTTGACACCAATTTATTACAACTTGAAGATGCAGCTTTATTGACAAACTGCCATGCACTAAATTTGATCATTCACTGTTTAGAAAGTGTTAGTCCTTAGCTGTTTGTTGCTGTAGTTTTAAGCCCATTTAGTCTCACAACTTTAGTGAGATTTTTTAAGATGCTATGGCTTTCCTTCTTTAATATTCAATTATACCATCTTGTATCCACTTTTTAAATTACTGGCCTTTCTTCTCAAAGCCATTGCCACTTGCACATCAGCTACTGTCTGTCTGTCTTTAGGCTCCCCAGTGTGGCACAGGACAAGCGCAGTGGACATGCTGTGAGTCAGACTGCTTGGTAATCACCGAGATGAGTGATCTCTCCTGAGTCATTATTTTAAAACTGGTGGTCACCTCTGTGCTTCCTTGGTCACTTGTTAATGGTTTTGTTCCTGCCCCCAAGGTGGGATGCAAGTGTGGCCCTGGGGGCCACTTGTAGGGAGTGGAGGACAGGTGGGGCAGCCTGGTAGAATCCTCTGGGGGGGGGCGTTAGTGGGTGACTTCATCATTTGCACCCCTTTCCAGTGTCCCCTCGGCAGTGATGGGGAGACCCTGACACAGGCAGAGATCCAGCCGTGTGCACAGGAGCTACATCCTGTCACTCCGCGTTGACACGTTGACTCGTCCACAGCGTCTTCTGTGGAAAACATTAAAAGAAGTCGTTACTGGTGAACGCCAAGCTCTTAGGCATCTGCACTGCAGCTATCTGAACGACTGCTTTCTTCGCCCTAGTGTACGCAGTTTTTGGATTTACCAGCGTGGTGAACCTCATCATAGGACTGGAGCAGGATGGGATCATCGACGGGTTCATGACCCACTACTTGCGAGAGGTACGAGATGGCTTAGCCATGATGAGCCTTAAACCAAAGGGCTGGCCACCCAGACAGCAGTGCTCAGAGATGGGAGCCCTTTCGGTTAGTGTAAGCAGGTATGACACGCAGTGTTTCATTCACTGCCAAAGACGCAGCCCACGTACTCACTCACACGGAAGTGAAGCAGAAAGTTAGCTCAGACCATGGCAGGCAGTTCTCTTCCACATTCCGTCTTACAGTGAACGCCTTCCTCACACCTCAACCACCACCTTTCTCCTTTCCTTGTATTTAATATAAATGGGGAACTTTAAATGAATTTAGTATTTGTGTGTCTGTCGTTATAAAGACATTACTCTCTAAGAAAGCCCAAGTCAGTCTTAAATGTGTGAAGTGCCAAACACTGAGGCAGTTAATAAAGCCATTTGATTGTGATGATGAACCCTTACCCCTGCCCCCGTCACAGCATTATAGATCTACTTGGAACCTGACAGAGTTAGTCCTTCTTCCTTCTTTTGTGATGTGATAAATCCAGCCCCAGAGAAGTTAAGTAACTTACTCAAGGTCACACAGGAAATAAGGAGCAGAGCTGAAAGTGTAGCCTTCATCTGTGTTGCAGATAACGGGGGAGTTACTGTGCAAGCTAAGGGAGTGTGCATTTTGTCCCGCGTGTGAGGGAGGATTTTAAGTCGGGGAACAATGCAGTCAGCACTGGGAAGGACGGGCTTGAAGGGAGGGGTCAGTGCCATGAGCTGGGACACCAGTGAGGAGGCTTTTGCAGGGCCAGCAAAGGCATGAAGATGGCCTGGAAGGAGGCCCAGCATGGGATGTTGACAGGAGGGACGAACTTCAGAGAATCTGAGTGGCTGGAATGGGCAGGACTCGGCACGAGTTGGGAGCGGGGGTGAATGGGGTGTAAAGTCCAAGAGGACATCCTGATTCCTATTTTTGGCACAGTGCTGGTGTTATCAAATCAGAGAGGGACAACAGGAGAAATTCAGTTTCACAGACATTTGGCAAAGCAGACTGTGGGGTCACAAGTCCTGCTTTCTGCCTCCAGGAGCTCACTGTCTCACATGGCAGGGAGATGGCACTGTCCGAGGTGCAGGGACGGAGACTCACACCAGGCAGAGTACACTGAGGAAGAAATGACTCTGGGAGCACTCAGAGGAGGCCTCAGCGAGATGGTGACACTGCCTTAGCCTTTTTTAAAGATGGCAGTATCAGTGAATGATAAACGTTTTCCAGATAGACTAGGCAGTGGAGGGCATTCCAAGGAGAGGGGACAGCACAGGCTTAGAGATGAGAAACAGCATGTGTCTCCCCACTGCCAGCCTGGGGTGCGGGTTTGCAGGGATGATGCTGAGTTCATCTGGGGACATGTGGAGTTTCAGGTGGGACTGAAAGGGACATCCTGGCAGGTGTCCTAGCTGGCAGGGCTTTCCAGGTGTTGAGCTCAGGGGAGAGAGATGTGGGGACTAACCAGATACAGTTGGTATCTGATGTTCTGAGAGGAGAGGGCAGAGAGAAGAAGGCCAAGGGGGGATCTTTGGAGACCTTGGCCAGAAGGTAAGGAGGCTCTGAAGTGGACTGTGAGGGGGCAGGCAGTTAGAAGGAAAACCCGGAATGTGCAGGGCCACCAAGTCCAGAGTGGGGAGGTTTTAGGAAGCAGCTGCCGAGAAGGCCTGGAGGTTGCTGAGCTGGTGGGTGGTGAGCAGTGGGGCAGACAGGGTGTGAGGAGGGGGACTGGTGTGTAACTGTGGGAAGGTCTGTAGGACCAGGCTCTGGGGACCCGACTGTCAGAGAAGAGGTGGAGCTTGGTCTTGCAGGCTGCCACCAGCTTTGAGAGGTTTCTGAGCAGAAGAATGACATGTCAGGGCCAGGACAGGAGTGTGGTGAGTTGAAGAAGAGGAGGGAGGTAGGAAGACCATTTCCCAGTGGTCCAGTGAGGGGCACGGAGGGCTTGAACTAGGCTGTGACGAAGAGGGAGGGTGGCCTGGGCTGACGTTATAGAGAAAAAGTTGATAGGACTTGTCAACAGACTGCAAAAGAGAATGGAGTGAACAACAGCCTTGTGGTTTTGACCTGGGTAAGTTGAGCGGTGTCACCATGAAAATGAAGAGGCCAGGTGGGGCTCGGTTGAGGGGAGAAGCAGATGAGTTAAAGGAGGTGAGGGGCATCTAGTTGAAGATGTACCTCAAGCCATCAGGAGCGGCCAGCACTGGCTTCAAAAGCCAAGTGTGTAGGCATGAATGATTAAAGCCATGAACTTGGATGATCTTATCCAATCAAAGCATGTCTGAGAGAAAAGATGTGGGCCAGGCATCAGTACTGAAGTACAACCCCTGTATTGTTTCCCTCTCCTCTGTGATTTGCACTTGATTTGATTTATGAGGCAAGATGACAGAGCAGTCCTTGCCCCAGGGGAGCACGAAGCTTCAGAGAATCCCCTGCTTGGCTGGTTGATTGACAGGCTGGTTGATCTGTTCCTTGTTGTAGAAAGGACTTAAGGCATCTTAGGAAGACATCTGAAACAAGGCAGGAGAGCACGAATGTGGGAGAAAGAGGACAGGAAAGTGAGGTGGAGCCAGACTGACACTAAAAACCCAGGCAAATTTGATAGTGATTTTCTAGTAGCCACCTGGGAATGTAAACACCTGGAAAACGGAAATGTAGTTCATCATATAATCTGTGTTTATAAAATTAAAAATTTCTCAGAAGTGTAGCTCTTCTTGGTAGTACAGTTTCTGCTCGGTATTATCTGTGTGACCTTAGACAGGTCAGGTAACTTCTTAGAACCTCTGTTTCCTCATCTGTGAAATGGAGTCAGTTGTGACCCTCCCATAGTGTTGCCGGAAGGCTGCATGAGGGGTTGTGCTGGGGCAGGGGAAGAGGTACGGCTGGGATGGGGAAGTAGGACCTTTCTTACACTCATCCCAGTGAGCCACGGGGTCAGCATGAATTTTGAAGGTCGGCCAGTGGCTCTGATCAGCAGGGTCTGCCTGACCACCTACTCTGGCCAGAGCCAGACACCTTTAGTCACAGATCTGCCTTGGCCTCGGTGAGACAGCCAGGATTGCCTGTAATGCCTTCTGTTTTGCATTGCTGTACACACCTGTGTTGACCTAGCCCAGGCCAGGCATTCTCTAATCCCACCCTGAGGCAGATCCTAGTTTTGGCAGCTCCAGTATTTTCATTGTTCCTACCAATTTTGTCATTGTGAAGGATTAAGAATAGTTTTATTTTAGCAGACGAACATGTGAGTTCTGCTGTTTTATTTCACTTGCAATACAGGTCAGGTGTTCTGTGTTGAAATGTTTGAGTCATATTTAAAGTGGACTTCTTTTTAATGCTTTCCTTAGGGTGAACCATATCTGAACACTGCATATGGGCACATGATCTGCTACTGGGATGGCTCTGCTCATTATCTGATGTATCTGGTGATGGTGGCAGCCATAGCATGGGAGTAAGTCATTTTGCCTGGTGGGTGTCCCTTTGTCCCTTTGGCAATCGAGAGGCGGGTGTGTAAGGAAAATGGATGTATAGAGGCAAATACGCAGACAGGTACACATGGACAAGAGAATAAGCTGTATGGAGACAAGTTGGACATGGCTCTGTCTTCCATGCATCACTGCCTTTGACATGTCCGTTTGAATTTCTCCTCTGCTATGATGGACAACTCAGGCAGACCCCTTAACTTTCTGATTATGTTCTCTTATAAAAGCAGCCTGTCTCATTTTTAGAAATTAAAGCCCAGCACATTATCATTCAAAACTTCAATCTCCTTTCAGTTTAAAGCTCCCTCTTTCTCCCCAGTTCGGGCATAGCCCTGAGGCTGAGTGGCATGCACTGAGGATGGGGTACATCAGCTATCCTTTCACTCAGCTCATGCTGCAGCTGCTCCCCTGGGAACACTTGTGTATGGACGTGGGGTTAAAGGAAGGGCAGAGTCTTACAAGACAATTGCTTTTCCTAGGTACTGGTAGCCTCTGTTATGATATGCTGGCCCTGTCTTGTGGGTCACATGTGTGGGTCTCTGGAGACCCCTACCACAGGAACCTCTGCATTGCAGTGATCCCTGAAGTGAGCAGTGCTCTCAGGCTGAGATCGTGTGACTCCCCTGCCCGTGGTGGTACATGGCACGGTGGTGGGCCCCTGTAACCCAGAAGGCATACCCTTTGGGGTGGGATGCTTTAAAGACGGCTCAAGCTCAGCTACCTTCCCAGGCCTCCCCTTGGCTCCATGTTAAGAGAAAGTCATGCATTCCTGCCCTGCACAAGGTTGAAATTCAGCTATCCTGTGCCCCTCCCCTGCCCCCAGTCACACACTCGAGGACAGTTCCAGCTAATTTCTGGGCTTCTCTATGACACCAGTGCATGTCTTAGTGAATGTTCCCAAGCTTCAGGGGACACATAAGGCATTCCCGAGAATGCTTGGGCTTGGCTTGCTGCCAGGACTGGGCCAGCATTTCTCTGGTTCAGTTAGCATCCAGCTGGGAGGAAGATTCTGGTCTGTCCTCCTGCTGACAATCCCGGTTGCTGTGAACGAGCCTCTTGGGACCTGCTGCATTTGGTTTGGGGGGTAGGGCAGGGTAGGAAGCACACAGTATTCTCTACTTCTGTTTCTCTTCTGAGAATCTCTTTTTGAGTTTCTCATAGCCCCTTAGGGATGTGGGGTGTCAGGGTTGGAAGAACTTGTCAACATTACCTATTAAGACTAGGGGGGTGTGTCTAGCAGCTCTTCCAGAAGGTGAGGTATAGGTCCCTTATTCTAATTATCTTTGGGGCTTTGGCTAAAATTCTGTGGCCCCAGGGAAAGCCCACTTAACATCCTACTACTCATACTTACAGTGATTTAAAATATGGATCCAATTTCCTTTCTTCTTTGAACCTTCTTTTTTCTTTCATGCTGAGTTTCACACATGATAGTGAAATGCAGGACTCCTCTGACAGCGATGCCCATGTTGTGGTTTAACAGATCAGCGTAGCAAGTGTAATTTCCTGTTCAAAAGGACACAAAAAGGGTTCTATAGCATATCACGTATGGAGACGAAGCTTGAACACCAGGGTTCCTTGTATTTGACTCATTACTTTCAATTCAGTATGTTTTCATTTACTAGGTGGATTTACACGTATTTTACTAGTTAGAACAAAGATAATATTGTGAAGCATCTTACACTAATAGTATTCTTTTTAAATTTAATTTTTTTACTAATAGTATTCTATGACAAGTGCACTAAGTCAGGATTTTTTTTGTTACAGGGAAAGTTACAGAACCATTGGCCTATATTGGGTCGGATCTATTATTATGAGCATTGTTGTTTTTGTGCCGGGAAACATTGTAGGTAAGAAACTTTATCTTAAAATTCACTATCCTTTTCTGAAACAATGGGAATTGTCTTTAAATAGGGAAGCTATTTTGGTTGTGATAGAACCAAGAAATTCCAAGTTTACCAAAAAGCTGTTGTGCAGAATTACTCCTTTTCCCCTCCTTAATTTCACCTTTTAAGAAATGCTCTGGAGCAATTTTCAGAAGTTAACAATTAGACTATCTAATATCAGTGATTCCTGACTTTTAGAAGGATCTAGTGGGGTAAGTATTGTAGGTTTGTGGCTACATTCAGTGTGCAAATATTTCTTACAACTCTGTATGTGTATAACTCTTGACACACTATGGGAACTCAATAAATGTACTTGAAAATTAAAATCCTAGAAAGTTAATGTGAAGGAGGTTATTTATGCATGCAAGAAATCAGGGTATTTTATTAAGTCTTACTTTTAAAGTACCGCAGATAGGGTATACCTGTTAATAGATGCCTTATAATTTTAAACTGACCTACGTTTTTGGTCTTATTAAAAATAGTCTGACCCATATCAAAATTTTAGATGACTTGAGATGGGGAGGTATCCTAAATGTTACTTGTGTTTGGATATATTTTTGATAACTGTTTGACTTTCTCTTTCTCTCTTTTAAAATAGGGAAGTATGGAACACGCATTTGCCCTGCTTTTTTCTTGAGCATACCATATACCTGTCTTCCTGTGTGGGCTGGTTTCAGAATCTATAATCAGCCATCAGAAAATTATAATTATCCCTCAAAGGTGATTTTATTAAGTTAAATGTAAACTGTTCTCAAATTCACAGGGCTCACTCACACCCACTGGCTACTGAATTGAACCATGCCTCCAGGGATTGGAGCATCTGGGGCATTCAGTCAGTGTGACTGTGTTGATTCTGCAGCGCTGGTTCACACCTTAGTTATGGTGGCCACAGTGGTCTGTTTCTGTGTGAACAGATCTGCTTGGATTGGCCAGGCCATACTTTTTGGAACTTCTTGTGTCAGAGGTTACACTGGCTCTTCCCATCAGATTCCACATTAGTGTGTGGAGTGAGGCTTGTGTGGGGCTATGAATGGCTTGGAGTTTGGAACACTTGGGCACCTCTTTCAGAAATATCAATGTGTCACTGCACCAGAGGGAGGCTGGAGAGATACTGCTGTTTCAGGTAGCGCACACAGCCACAGGGTCTGATTACCAAGAGATCCAGGCACAGGGAGACTGGCTACAGAACATCTTCTGAGATACCTCCCTTCCACTCACAGCCAAGGTGGTCAAGGTGAAACAGTGCTGGCTGGGCAGGTACTCTGTTAAGTCTTCGTTTCTAAGCTAGTGACATCTTTCTAAGTTTCTCTTCTTTTCATAGGTATTAGATCCTTAAGCAAGATCCTTTAAGCAAAACTGACATATGAAAATGAGTTACTAGAGATAATCAGAACACAATTATTCGTTTTATAAAAAGACTTACAATAGAATTCATTAAAATACATTTTAATTTACAAACACTTCATCTGTAAACATTTAGACACGTGCTATGTAAACTCAGGTTGGCACATTGACATCTGGTACTCCCTTACATCCTTTTGAGGAATGAGGTGGTTGTTAAAAAATAAGCAAACAGTCACCATAGCCTTGGTCCTCGCTCTACTGATTTTGATGGCTCCATGTCAGTGTGTCAATACTGTTCATGTTGTAAGACACACAGAGCTGTTTATCATTATTATTTTTTTAATGTTAAAACACAGTGATGGCTGGGGAGAAATAGGCATTGTCATACAGTGCGGATAGGAACATATATTCAGAATTGCTCTGCAAAGCCATTTGGCAATGTTATCAACCTTAACAAATTTAACTCTTTAACCTAATAATTCCACTTCTAGGGCCCTGTCCTAAGAAAATCATCGGAGATGCTGTCAAAGACTTATGTATAAAGTTGCTCATCATCACATCAAGTATAACAGTGAGGAAGCCGAAATGTCCAGCAATGGAAGATACAGCACTTCCATATGATACTAAGTTTTAGGAGAATTTTTAATAACACGGGAAAGTACTTATAACAGTAGATACTGGGTGCCAGAAGAACAAATGCAAAATTGTTCATACATTAAGTCCTAATTTTGTGAAAAATAAATGTTGATTATACATCATATATACATACATAATAACATATATATTCAACTATATAGCTATATATGACTGGAAAAATGAAATAACTATTAATAGTGGTATGATGGGTTAATGGCTTTAAAATGAGTGTATTTTACATTTATAATCATAAGAATGCTATTCCCCAAAAAATATGGCCTTAGAGCCAGAAGGGCCTTCAAGATCACCTGCCCCAATCTCCTCACCTCAGAAATGAGGAAACACTGAAACTTGAGGGGAGAAGTGATTTTCCTAAAGTTACATGACTAGTGGTTTTGAATCTTCAAAATTTCCCTACCATCCGTCACCATGGTACTTATGTTTCAGTGCATCCCAGATTCTTCTTTGATACCTTGGGTCTGCTCATTAGTTACCAACTTTTATTTTAGGTCATTCAAGAAGTCCAAGCGAAGGACCTGCTGAGAAGACCCTTTGATTTAATGTTGGTTGTGTGTCTCCTTCTGGCAACTGGATTTTGCCTGTTTAGAGGCTTGGTAAGATTAAGAGATCAAAATAACATAAAAAAGAATATATATATTTTAATCAGACTTCCGAGTACACTAACAAAATATACCTCCCATTAGAGCCTCGTGGCCTGGACCTGCTTCCTGATGCTCTTTTACCCTCACCTCAAACCTCTCCTCCCAAAGGGGTGGTCCCTTCTGGGCCGCTTCATACCGCCCTCTTCAGGTCCTTAGACCAAGCTCTACCCAGAATTATCTTTATTTTAAGGCACCTAAAAAATCAGCTATTAGAGTCTCATTTTTTTTTTTTGGTTCCTTTGATGTTTCTGATTGAAATTTAAATAAATCTTTGGTAAGAGTGATAGCTTAAGAGTCCAGTCAAACTATGGCATAGAGCATCCAGGTGTTCTCAGGAGTAGGGAGATGGGATTGAGGAAAGGCTACCAGAGTAAGGTGTTAGACTCCTGGCCAACTACTAGCTGTGTGGCCTTGCAAAAATCACCTAACCTCTTTGATCCTCAGTTTCTTCCTCTGTACAATAATAGTGCCTACCTTACAGTATTGTTTGAAGATTAAGTAAGATAAGGTGCATCAAACACTTGCAGAGGGTCTTACACATAGTAAGTGCTCAATAAATGATTGCTCTTATGATCTTTATTGATCGAGAATCCTTCATAATGCCTGTTTCATGACTCATTCTCAGTAGCACTAAATTTGAGCAGCTAGAATTACGTGGTTAATTATATTTGGCTTCAATGACAATTACTAACTGTTCTAAGGCTGCTGGCATTGCACAGTAGTTGGAGGGCAGAGTGGAAAGTGTAAGCTGATGTAGCTGATTCATTATTTTGGGGTCCTTCAGCTATAAGGGACCTGTGTAGCAGGCCAAGGCAGGGCGAGCAGCTGTCTGAAGAGCTGTCTCTGTGGACTGTCAGTAACCTCCTGGAGCAGAGTTGGCCAATAGGCGTGGCACAGAGAAGGGAGGTAAAGGAGAAAGCAGGGCCATAGGCTTTGCTCAGACCACAGAGCACTGAAACTGTTTTTCGGTTAGTATGGTGTAATGCCCAGAGTTAAAAGAACAAAACCCAGCAACAATGAAAATGAGCCCCAACTGTATACCCACATAGCCATCTCCACTGCCCCGTGCACGTGAGAAAAATGCATGCATGAGTGAGCGTGCACACTTGGTAGGTGGGACTTTTAGGTTGGGGCCCATTTTTTACCAACTCTGCCCCTGACATGGGTTCATATATGCTATTTAGGTGGGACAACATTTAAGGACATGAGGAATGGTATCTGAGGGAGGTGACTCAGAGGGGACCCACTGATGTGCCAAGGAGACACTCTGTTATGTGGCCTAGAGTCTACGCTGCCGTGACTAAATCTGCTCTTCTCTCTTTCAAAGTGGACACAGGAAGTGGCTTCAGACAAGAGGACCCAACCCCACTTTCAGATCGTTAGCCTTTACTACCCCAAAGGCCATATACTCTGTGAGGCCCTGGAGAGAAGAGGGTGCTATTTTTGAGTCTTGCAAAGCATAGTAAGATGAATTTGGTATAGAAACGTACTTTTCTTCCTGCAGGGACTAGTTGGCTAGTTATTCCCAGGAAAAGTGAAACTGGTAATCTAAAGCAAGCTGTGCTTTGGTTAGCCAGACCTAGACGGTGAAACCGAGTGCTCGGCAGGTACCCAAGAATAGAGCGTTGGTTTGCATTTCCTGCTCCACTCTTAACCTCTGCTTAATCTCTTTAGAGTAAATCTGTAGAATATTTAATTTTCTTTCTCTTTTACTGATGAGCTTCTAAAATAGTTTTTGGTAAATAGCAAAGCAGCTTGTGACTAAACCTGGCACATTGAGCCTTATCAGCAAACGTAAGAACCAGATGTGACTGTTATCTTTATAATGAATTCATTTTTGTTCTTAGATTGCTTTGGATTGCCCAGCTGAGCTCTGCCGATTATATACGCAATTTCAAGAGCCCTACCTAAAGGATCCTGCTGCTTATCCTAAAATACAGGTCAAGTAGTTATGAAGCCTAAGATCCTTCTAAAATTAATTTTCTCTTTTTTTTAGGAATGGGAAAATGTGATACCATAAAGGAAACAGGAGTTAATATTTTAAAAAGTGAAAATGTTAATTGAGGAAGACGTTGATTTTTTTCTCATGCTTTTCATCAGGCCAGGTTAACCATTAATTTGCTGATGATGTTATTTCTCTGTTCAAAACAGATGCTGGCATATCTGTTCTATTCGGTCCCTTATTATGTGATTGCACTTTATGGCTTAGTGGTTCCTGGATGCTCCTGGATGCCTGACATGACACTGATACATGCTGGAGGTCTAGCTCAGGTACTAAGAATATGCTCTGTTAAGAAGGTTTACTGGGGACTTGGCTTTCCCTGTTGAGTGTCTGAAAAATATTTCTGCTCTGTTTTAGGGTAGGAAATCATTATTAGATATGTTGTCCCCTTTGCTTCATGGTTCTTTAGAAGACATTTCTGCATTATTTAAATCTCACAATTACTACCTGGTTCGGTGTGCCATCCAATTATACAGATGAGGAAACTGAGGCCCAGGAAGATTAAATGATTTTTTTCACAGTCACATACCCAGCAACTGGCACTGCTGTTTTACTGTGCTATTTCCCAGTCTCTGAACACTGCAGCTACTAAAAGAGAAATAAGAACTGTTACCTTTAGTCTGTCTAAACTCAAGACTTCAGAATTCCATCATATTATGCTACACAGAATCAGGGAAATTAGTTTTTAAAAAGTTCTGCTCCTGGGAAGCAGGGCCCGTCATCTCATTCCTCCCCTCTGCTACTTAGCCAAGCCTCTGGCCTAGAGTAGGTGTTCAGTGAGTACTTACTTCATTGAACTGGAAATGAATTTATCTATGAAATTATCATACAAAGTATATTTTTAGAAGATAACTATCAAAACAAATTGATCGTACAAACAAAAAAGACAATTATTAATTTGCTTTTTTTCTTACTATAAATAAAAAACAAATGAACTCTTTTAAAATCATTATTTTTGTCTTGCTCTTTCCAAACAGGCATAAGAAATGCTGTTCATCCAGAAACTCTAGGCATATACAGTTAATTATACTGATGGTATAATAATGATGATGGCAAAAAGACACTGGAATTTACAGTGTTGAAAAAACAGTTACAGTACTTAAGCGTTAGTACACTGGGCTAAATCTTTCCAGGCTAAGGTACTTTTTAATTACAGAATTAGAATATTAATACAAAAAAAATTGATGCAGTATCCAGAAGTAATGGTTTCTGTCCTTTCCTTGAAGGACATTGGAAGGAAGAGAACTAGTATTTACCCTCTTTGCAGGTATTACCCTCTGAATACCTTATTTCTTAGGCCTTGGTTTTAGGTCTTTATTTCCATATCTTTCAATACCAACTATACACTGATGACTTCCAGTTTTCTCTCTTCAACTCAAACTGTTCCCAGACTCCTATATGTAATTCCAAACTCAGTCTTTTTACTTGGATTGTCTCACCAGCATCTCAGATTTAATGTCCAAAATAGGATTCTTGTTCTCCCCACAACTTCTCTTCCATTTCTCCCATCTCTGTAACTGGCCCTTCCTGGCATCCAGCAGTTCAGGTCAAAAACTGGGGGTAATTATACCTTCCAATCCCTTACCCTCTACATGCAGCCCATCACTAGGTCTGGGTAGTCCTCTCTTCAGAGTAATTCTCAAATTCACCACTTTTTTTTTATACCACTTTTCTTTTTATAGCTCCACTGCCATTACATTAGTCTCTCATCACCTTACTTCATGCAAGATAAATCATGCTAAATGTTTTACTTACCTATTTGTGTAAGGATAGGCTATGTGCTCTGCTGGAATAGCAAATACTCAGTAGTTAAACATAGTAAAGTTTCATTTCTTGCTTGTGCAAAGATTCTGTGGGATATTTTCAAGAGCCAGGCCTGGTACCAACCCAACTGCAAGGGAGGCTAATAAATGTGGTCTTCCTGGGTACCTCAGAAGAAACTGTGATGAACACATAGCATCATCTCTGCAAGTTTCTTAAAAGCCTCACTTAAAAGATAAGAAGACTGAGGCTCAAGGCTGTTGTTACTTCCCTAAGGTCACAAAGTTACTAAATGGCAGAACAGGGATATAAAATCCCATCTGACCCCAGAGCTCATATTCTCCATTGTACTTTCCCTCTCCTCAGGCAAACATTAGCTGTGGCATAGAGTCCTACAGCACAGAATAAGACTTTGTATGTGGCATGTCACTGGGGTGGGAGACAGTGACATCTGAGCTGAGGGCTTTGTGGGCCAGACAAATTTTAAGATGGAGGAAGCGTTTAAATGTTGGTGTGCAGCAGGTCAGAGGGTAGAGTAAACTTTGGCTTTTGTTTTCTTGGCTTGGTTCCCCTGCTTTAGTCTTTGTCCTCCAGAACAGAGGGCCACCCACTTACCCCACTCTTACCAGTCCCTTGATTAGATTGTTCAGCGTTTGTACTCACTACCTGTGCGTGTTGCCTGCACAGCCTGGCTTCCTCTGCGTGCCATGTTCTGTGGTCTGCCCTGCGCCAGGCCCTGGTGCAGGAACACTGAGTGTCCTCAGCTAGGAGGCTGGTAAGAGTGAGGCCAAGCATTGGACCTGGTCAAGTCTCAGGAGACAGCTGGAGAACTAGGCAGGAAGACCTAGGCCAAGGCCTTGCAGAAATCTTTGGTCTTATCCATCACTGCCCAATCTGACAGGCTAGCCGGAGGCTATGGACTAGACCTTGTAAATGTCTGAAGGATGTTTCTCCAACCCAACAGAAGAATGGTGTAATCTGAGAATTATGTGTCTGACAGTCTCATAGTTCTTGGCTGGGCTTTAATATCTACCTATTCAGAGTGTTTAGCCTAAGGAAAAGTTCCCAATCATACTGCAGCAAAACAGTGCGTACGATGAGAATATTGAGTTCCAGTTGTGTGATTTGCTTTCTGCTTAGTGCATGCTTGTTTATGAAATGAATTCTCATCTTGGGAGGATATCTGACACGTTCATCACAGAAAGCACTCTCTCTAACCTTGACTAGCACCCCTCGCTTGCTAAAACTGCCATTCCTAATATAGAAGCTTTATGAAGTCATGATCCCACTAACTTTATCAAATCTGCTTTTATTGGAAGATTTAGTGAACCCCCAAGAACCTGATTTAATAAGAAGAAAAACTTCTAGAGCCATACAAGTCAATGGAAAACACGTTAAGTAGTTATTAGGTCCCTGATTTCAGACCATGTAGGAATCTGCCAAACCTGCTGCCTTCAGAAATCAAAAGATCAATCAAAAAATAAAATACAATAAAAGCAGGATACATTTTATACCAAAAAGTTCCACTGGGGACTTTTTCATAACCCAAGTGTCTTTTCATTTAAAATCCTTAATACAGGATTAAGGCTGCAATTTGAAGAAACACTCTAAGGCTCTAATTTGAAGAAACACTACAAGCTGTTTAGGTCTCATTAGCATTTTCTATCAAATGAATTTCTGTCTGCTAAAATGTTACTGAAAATTAAAGGATACAGTCAATATGGTTAAGACCCTGAGCTCTGGAGGCAGACTGGTTCAAATCTCAGCCTGTCACTGATTAGTTCAGTGACCGCGGTTACTTCACCTCTTTGACCCTCAGTTTCCTCTTCTGTAAAGAACGAGTAACACACCTTTCTTGTAGAGCTGCTGTGAGGATTACATGAGGTAACAGAAATAAAGGGTTACAGCAGTGCCTGGCACACAGTCAGCTGTGGGCCTCTTTGTTGCTATTACTGTTGTTGTTGTGAGAAGATTCCCAGTAAGAGTCTGGAGGAGAAATGCCTTATGCTGCTCAGAGTCACTAATCTGTAGCCAGGCGTACTGTGTATAATCACCTAGAAAGCAGAGACACTGGGAGACAGCACTGGGACAGATTCACAGAGGTGCGGCCAAGAGCCTGCCACGCCACCCGATTAACACCCCGCAGCCCTGGGAGCAGGGGCAGTGCCCCCGCCCACGTGCTGCCTCGCCTCTCCCCCTCCCTGACCATGCAGGTGCCATGTAATTTCTCACAAAAGGGTCTGGAGGCTTACCTGTGGATACTGTGGTTGTAAAGAGTTGACTCTACTGGGAAGCACATTTTAAAAGTTGTTTTTAAGATATTTAAAAAATATCTGAAAATGAAGGTTTAGGAAGAACACAGATAATTGGGATACTAATGCAAACCCCATTTTAGTCATTTGCTTCTGGTGTGATTCATCACTAAACATCTTTATTTAGTATTAAAACTAGAGTTTGGGTTTAAAGTCTTTAGTTTACATTTGGTAGAGACAGTCTTGAAATTGTCAAAAGGTCAGCAAGACAATCTAAAAACAAAGGGCCCAGGTTTTCAATCAAGTAAAGTGTCAGATCATGAACAAGTATTTCAGCTGGTTTTGTATCTGTAGAAAGAGTCCCATGTGCTTGGCATCGTCCTAAGCACGTCACAAAGATCAACTCACTGAACCCGTGTAACGATCCTATGAGGTGGGCTCCGTTTTTATCCTGCTTTTACAGATGAGGAAGCCAAAGAGGTTACATACCTAACACAAGGCCATACTGTTGGTTTTCGGGATTTGATGCTGTCGATCTGGTTCCAGATTCAGTGTTCTTAACCACAAGACTATGGTGCTCAGAAAACCCTAAGAAATGGTAACATGGTTCTGGTTAGCTATTTATACCATATCAGCCAAATAGTCTGGCTACCGTCCCAATATTAGTTCCATATTAGTTTCTGCCTATAGTATTTATGTGGACACATAAAACTTTCAGTTCTCCTTTCTGGAACCAGGATTGTGCTTTTTTGTCATCCTTTCCAGATTGTCTCTAGAAGAAAACAGAGCTATTAAAATTTAACCTTTTTCTTTGCTTTTATTGCCTCATTTTCCATCCCAATCATCCATTCTTAAAAAAGAAAAAATCAAAGTAATTTCTTAATTTAAATTTAAGGTGACAAAATGATTTAGAGTGAAATAGAAGAAAAATGATTAGGGGTTCAACTTCACATCACTGAGCTCTCCAAGCCCAGTCATAAGGAGGCCTCATGTACTGGTAGGGACATCACTCAGGAGACATAGTTTGGCCCCTTATCAGCTATGTGCTTGGGAGGGGAACCCTCCTCAAGTGAGGCTGAGGCTTTTCTGAAACTTCAGAACCCTGAAAACTGGACATCATATGCCCCTGGGAGGAAGCTATGGTTGGATGCTCACTCAGCTGGAGGTGAGGCCACTATAAATGCACCCACTAGAACTATGAGCAGTACTGGAAAATGCAGAAAACTGGCCTCAGGCCTTTTCTCTCAATTACGTACCTCTTTTGATTAGAAATGTAATCATCTTTGCCCCTTGTTAAATAATTCTGAAGAAAAAGGCCTACTAAAATAGGTATAAAAATAGAGAAATGCTTTGTAGAAGCCTTTTTGTATTGTGACAGTCACAAGACCATTACTGTTGAATGTTTATTGAGCTCTAACAATGCGATAGGTGCCACACAACACATCAGACACAGTACCTGCCCAGTGGGCTTACAATCTAATCTAAGGACATGATCATTTTTTAATGTTGCCATGAGTTTGCTGTTTGTGAAAATGAGGTATTAACTGCACTGATTAGTGCAGGAAAAAAGCCTATGATATCAGACTTTTTAAGCAGGTTTCCTTATGCAAGTAGGCATGGTTGCTCATATTATTCCCTCAAACTATGGTTGGCATTTCCCCCAATTTGGTGATTTTTGAGATATGTACAAGTGTCTATGAAGATAGAGGCACCAAATGCACATTTCTGAAGATCAGGGTTCAAATCTGGCCTCTAGTCAAGGAAAAGTTTGGTTTTATATTTATTCAAAACAGGCCTTAGGGAAAAACAGTGACAGGGCCAAGTTCCTGTCTAGCGTTCCCAGAATGTCAGCAAGAGCAGCTCCTCAGGGCAGTCTCTCAAATGCCCTTTACTCTCAAGCTGTTTTGTCTTCATAGCCCAGAGATGAAATGCTTAACATCTGCTGGGTTCTGTCTGAGCATCTGCCCAGGGGGAGGTGTGTTCGAGGGCAGAGCCCTCTCAGCGCCTCGCAGATCGCAATGCAGACAGTTCCTGCGTTGGCGTTGGTCCTTGGCAACACACCACGCTAATTTGATTTCTATCTCCAGAGAGCAGCAAAACTACCAGACCTCCACAGAATGAATCAGTAATCGGAAAAATGTAACTTGTTGAAATGTCTGTCACTGATAGAATCCATACACGCGCTGCTTATGAAATCTTGTCCTTTTCTTACCATAGTAAAGTCAAGTGCTAAGTAACACTTTTATCTGTTAACCACTTAGCAGAATAAACTGATTTATATGGAAGGAAATTTAAGATAACTTTTATGTATTTAAAGCAAATTATTTAGTTTTTCATTCTTGTCACTTCTGTGCCTTCTTTAGATTAGTGTTATCTTTTGTCTCTTTACTTTCTTTAATCTTGATGAACTAAGAAGTCACCACTTACTGCACTTAGATTCCCAGTCCTTTATTCATGTATATCTTGAATTTCAGTAAGATAAGAAATGCAGACTCCAGGGTTGCATTTTGTAATGATACAAGGATCCTGAGGAAATACTTTCACAGAAGCCTTTTCTAATACAGATTTCCCCCTGTGCTTAAGAAAAGTATCAAAAAAGACCAACCAGCACATTCCAAATGTATGTTCTGAACAAATATTTAAGTACAAATGGGAAGCTCTTGCCTTTTTGTTTGTAAACTCAGATTATGCTGACGAGCCGTACTTCTAAACAGATAATCATTTGATTTGAAAAAGCTGTCTGCGTGTACATTTGCCATTTTATAAAGAACAACCAAATTCCTACCTATCTTACCTTACAAAACAACCCTTAATATTTTTTTAAGTTGCATAAAAAAACAAGTACATGAACAAATAAACAAAATACATAAGGAAGGGCTTTGAGTTTTTGCTCCAAGGAGTAGGTGAAAGATTGATAAACGAAGCTGAGGTCATCAGTGCTTCTCTTTAAATAGTTATGCTAAAAATATTTTAGCTGTCTAAACTCTATTTGCTTCATTTTTACTGGAACACATTTTGTGAGCCGCAACTGAGTCCTTATATAGGATATCTCCAGAATGCAAATCAGAAAAAACAGATTTTATTCAGATTTTTCTGTTAAATTGAGCCGCTAATGTTTGGTAGGGGGCACTAGATGGGTTAAAAAACAGCTAGCATGACAGAGACATGCTAAAGAAGGTTTATTTTATTTGAACTGTTATATCATGCCTGGCTCGAAATTCAGTGAAATATTGAAGACTGGACTGTTTGAAAGTACTGATTTTGAGGGCACAGGAACATGGTCCGAATGAATCATTCAGAACTCAAGGTGCATCCAACTGAACACAAAATTCATGCTTACCCTTTTTTTTTTTTTTAATGCAACAGGCTCAGTTTTCTCACATCGGTGCTTCTCTTCATGCTAGAACTGCTTATGTCTACAGAGTCCCAGAAGAAGCGAAAATCCTTTTTTTAGCATTAAACATAGCATATGGAGTCCTTCCTCAGCTCTTGGCCTATCGCTGTATCTACAAACCAGAGTTCTTCATAAAAACAAAGACAGATGAAAAAGTTGAATAAAAACATTATTTTATGTTCTTCCTTTCCAGATTACTGACTTCTGTTATCCTGGTGTCGGTATCTTGTCCCATTTCACTCTCTTCCCATACAGGAACATTTTAGAATAAATTCTTGCTCTGCACTGTATGTGTGAGCTATCATAGGTATTGTGTGGGTAGATTTTTTTTGAAGGAAAATTGAAGTTGTTCAGAAAGTTTGTTTAAAGAAATATATTCAGAGTTATCTGTGAATAAACTTGGCCATCTATCTTAATACTTTGTTTGCGCATATTAAATGAGTGTGAAAAATTCCAGTAGAGCTCCTACAAGAGTGAGCATGAAAAGGAAACTATTCCAAAGTGAATATGGTCTGTGCATATTAAAAATTTCAAAATAGCAAATACAGATTGGAGAAATTTTTTTGCATATAAGATAAATATGCTTTATTATCAACCTCAATATAAAAGGCAAATAAATCATCAAAATTTTAAAATGTTGTTTGAAAAATGTTTTCCCAAGGAAAGTATATTATTTACTGCTGTTTTAAAAATTGCTTTTATTTAAATTTTTTTGGTGAGACTAAATAGCTAGGGAGGGAATCTATAAGTTTATCATTACCCTTAATGCTTATTTTATTTGTGACTGGAAAGATTTCTATTGTATTTCTGTGTATATCCTTAATAAAATTATTTTTGGCTTTTTATGAAGACAAATCTTATTAAGTTTGAAATACTCTTTTTTTCAGAAAAAGTTCTCTAGGCTTTAGGCTTTTTATTTTAAAAATCTGTCAAGTTGTATGTTCCAATTCAAATGTCATCTACATTCTCCTTATGTTTTAGTGGGAGCAATGAAGAGGACTTTGGATGAATTAATTAAATTTCATTCATTTTAAATTAAAATGTTCAAAATTAAAAAGTACCTACCTTTTAAGGACAAAGAACTGGACTGGCATCCCTGCTGTCTTTTAATGAACTTTTCATATTCGGAAGTGTGAGTGAGTACAATAGAGAAAAATTGGTATTTGCTAAATGGGAGAAACAAACCAAAAACACAGCTGCTGCCTCAGTGCCCTGGAGTGGTAAGTGGATTGGTGCTTTTAATACCCTCAGCTGCTGTCATCACCATCACCATCATCATCATAAATGGCCCTAAGTCTTTAGAGCTTCTCACATTTTTTCTTCATGTTATTTACTAGCTCTTCACCAAAATAAGAAATCCAAACGAAAACGGGGTCCAAATCAATGCATGGATAATGTCAAGTGTGTGAATTTAGGGTCCACTGAGCTGGTAAGTATCTCAGATGTGCAAGCAATCACGTAGCCAATTCTTCCCTCCCACACAGTGTTTATAAAAAAACCTAAAACCCATAGAGTTTTAAAAAGAGAAAAAGAAAACCCTCACCTGCGCTTGATTCTATTGTCAACTTGCTGTTAGCAATTTTTTGCTTTAATATATGAATTACATTAATACCTCACATTACATATATGAAGCCAAATTACACTAACTTAGTTGTTTACAGCCTCAAATCTTACTCCCAGTACACATTCCAATAAATTTATTCTGTAAAAACAATACATTTTTTTGTTTTTGATTTTTTTTTTTACAGTAAACTTTTCAACTACAAACCTCGAATACGCGAAAGATGATCCAAGGACAAGCATAACAGGATTGATAAAACCCAAACTGACTAAATGTGTTCTCACAATATAAGCTGGCATAAAAATAAATAAAATTCTCTATTATCACAATAGCAACAATAATGTACACATAATAATGGTTTGTGGATGAATATTAACTATTCTAATTCTAGTTCCAAAAGAAAACTGTTCATTTTAAAAGTCTATTTTAAAAGTCAACGCTCTGTCTGATTTCCCATAGGGCTACTGCTGATTCCAGCTTTAAAATGTAAAGTATCCACCTTGAGTTTTTAGCTCAAATTGTCTTGGCATTGGGAAAAAAATAAATCATTGCCTTTATTTTGGAGTAACACAAAATGACTCACTAATTCACATATAGAAACTGAGTCTGTGTACGTAACAACATGAGTTTTGAGAAGTATCAGCTGTCAACTAGCTATTTCTAATACAGAATAGATATTTTACAGTATGATTAAACTTTACACATGGCCTCAAAACTGAAGGACAATTTTAAGTTTATCTTCAATATGCCAACGTTATATATCTAGGAATTGGTTCCTGGGTTCTGTCACAGAGAAGAAATCCCTTAAGCATTATGTTGAGTGGTCGTTTCAAAAAAATGCTAATTTGTATTATAACTGAGTGTTTGGTGATGGCGGAATAAAGGCAGGAGTGATGAATGTAACTGCCTTGATAAAGAATCCTAGACATGTATAAGCTTGTGCAAAAATCTTGATAATCCTTAGTGGTTAAGGGCAACTTCATGCAACCAAATAACATGAAATTAAATCAATAACCTTTAAAAAAGGCTAAAATGTCTTTCTTTCCCCCAAACACAACAGAGAGGAATGTGAATAATGTACATACAAACTGGGGTTCTGTCAATGACAACAAGGACTATGTGTTGGTTCATATCAAATCCAAGAATATTAGACAACCAAACGTATAACCTTCTTGTGGTTTTCTTTATATGCAGCATTCATTATGGTAGTTAGGTCTGTAAGAAAAGAAAGAAAACAAGCCTTTAGATGATACTGGATACTAAACAATAAAAGCTATCCACACCTATACAGTATATAACTGGATTTCCTAAGATTCTAATCTGCACTGCAGCATTAACAATATTTAGCAAGAACAACCTCTGAGGATTTGCTTTATACCCATCAGTGCAAAAAGCTAATGAAGGAACAACTAAGGCATTTTTAGTATTCCATTAAAAAAAAGGGAAAAACAATAAACTTTGTCTATTGTCTGGCAGGGCACAGAGTACAGCAGTGTGCACTCTATAATTCTAGGGCGGCGTATTGCTGGGATACATAAAGTCAATGGAAAAATTGAGGTAATTCATCTTTGTGAGGACTCTGGTGTCAGAAAGGTAAATTGCTTAAAATTTTAAAAGCATTTGCAGAATGCGCAAATTATTCTATATAATATCTACAACTTAATTACTTGTGACACATGGCTCAAAGAGATATGAGTTAACAAAATCAAGATGTACAAAAAGAAAGAAGGCCTAGATTTCTTTTAAAGCTTAGATTACATCCATGTGACAAAGAAAATATTTCCGTTTCCTGAAAGAATTGTTTCAATTTGGGCCCCACTTTAAATTGTGTCAGGTTACACTTCCCCACAGGGATGTTATTTTTGTTTTCTTCATCAATAACCCAAATGCATTAACCCCCCTAATAATGTTCCCATGGGAAGGATGAAGGAGGAAACTCAGGCCCCAAAGATTTGCTCTAAAAGCAGCCTGCTTCAGCTCTTCACTAAGTGAATGAACTTGTTTGTAAGCATACATGTGCTCACTCATTGGTCTGTTCTCAGTTATGTAGCCAAAACCTATCCTGTACGGCACACAATACCATGTATAAATAACTCCAGAACCTTCAAATAGGAAAAGTTACTAAACCTACCATCCTTTCAGGATAACAGAGATACATTTCTTAGCCTTCTCTGTTCCTACCAAAATGAGAAAGTCAATCTTAAAAAAAAAAATCACATTTAAAATCTGTGAACTTGCAAGATGCAGTGCCTGATGACTCCTAATTATTTCTTAAACGAAAACACTAGATATAAGATTATACTCACAGACTTTGAAGGATTTCCCCCCTTTGTGAAGGAGGAAGACACACATTAAAACAATGAAAAACTTAATTTTTCAAAGGAAAAAAAGAACTTTAATGTCTTTTTATTAATATTAATGTGAAAGGCAATACCTTCTATGTTTACATGGGTAGAAAATTCATAGTAACAACCACTCAATCCATGTTGAAGATTATTTTTGGACCAGATGGTCCCATGGAAGCCTCAGAATATTATTCACGTCCCAAAGTGAAGGTGGTAGCAGAATGTGACTAACTTAAGGACATGGTTTTTTTAATCTGGTGGCAAGTTAGGGGTTTCGGGGGGTGGAGGGAGGAGGGGAGTATCCTTAAACAAGGTGCTGTCAAATGGGTGCTTAGAAAACCAAATTATAAATCTGATTTTTTTAACTTCTCATACCATAATCAGTCTACCTGCATTTGTGTATCAAAAAAATATCTTGGTAATTCTTAATGGTGTCTGTTTTGGACATAGTGTGCTGAGTGTCTGCTAGACTGGACACCTCCTCTGGGCAAGCAGCCACAAGTGGTTCCTTAACGTGCTGGTCACCATGCCCTGTGCCACGTCTACACTGGATGCTGGCTGGCTAATCCAATCAGATTCTCCCCTGAGGCATTTGAATATGAGGCACACTGCAAGGCTGCAGGGTGGCAATGAAGCTGAAAGCCACCCACACAGAAAGCAGAAGTTATGAGGCAGCAGAAATCCTAGGATCTTTCCATGGAGCACCATTTTTACTTGAAAAAATGATGACAGGTAAACTCTGGCTTCAGACTTGGGCATTTTGCACTTTGTCAAAAATAATGAAGTGAACCTATCACTTCAAGGAAAACAACTAGCAGCATTTGCTGCCAATGATAAAATCTGAGCCTTTAAAAGCGAAAATTAGAATTCTGGAAAACTTAGATCTTCATCAATCAACAGCTTCCCAATGCGTAAAGATTTCTCTGACAAGGTAGGTAGTGATATTTATAAATGTGACTAAAAAGATTTCATCATGAAAATATTTGGAAATTCTAGGAACAAATATTTTCCAAATGTGTAAAAGCTATTTTAAGTACCAGACAGTCCAACAGATTTTAACCAAACAATACAAAAGGTTCAGATTCCACTCTGTAACTAACCTCTAAGAACCCACCACTTACAGGACTGGTGTATATCACAGAATATACACGATGATCTGACAAGACTATTAAAATATTTGTATTTCCATTTTCCAACTACATGTCTGTGTAAGGCCACATTTTCTTCATATACTTCAACCAAAATTACATTTTACAACAGAATGAATACAGAAGCAGGTATGAGAATCCTGCCCAATGTCTTCTATTTAAGAAGACATTAAAGAGATTTTTTAAAATGTGAAACAATGTTATTTTTCTCAAAAAATTTTTTTTCCATAAAAATGTGTTATGTTAAGTAATGGGCTTATTATTATTTTTAAATAAATTAATAAATATCTTAAAATTTTGTTTTTATTTCTAATTATGTAAATATCAATAGCTATAACAAAAACTCTTTGGGGCCCTCAATAACTTTTAAGAGTATTAAAGGGGTCCTGAGACCAGAAAGTTTGATGACCACTGGCTTAGAATAAATGAGAGTAAATGGTGAGAAATGAAGCTGAAAAGATAAACTGGGGTCAGAGAAGAAGATCCTTATATTCTGAAATAAGGAGTTTGGGCTTGGTCTGAAGGGCAGTGGCAAGACATAAGGAGGCAGCACTACACTGTGGAAGCAGCAATAGGTCAAGGGTAAGAAGAATAAAGGCATGAACACTGGTTAGTGGTTACAGTGAACTCTGTGGCTGTCCTCCCAACATTTATTCTATTCTCTGCTTCTCCCCTCAATGATGTGATAGCCTTGTGATTTGGGGACTTCACTCCTGCTCCAGGAATGGGTAGAACCTGACTGGCCTAAACCAGTTCCAACTCCCTTGTTATCAGTAGTTGGTTCTGGGATGGGCAGCTTTCCGACATGGTCCTCAGTGATGCCTGCCTCCTGGTATTCATAGTCTTGTGTAATCCCCTCCCCTTGAGTGTGCTCTGGACCTTGTGACTTGCTTCTAATGAACAGAATAAGGCAAAAGTGATGGGATGTCACTTCTTAGATTAGATAACAAAAGGCTGACTTCTGTGTTGCTAGCATTCTCTCTTTCATTAATGAAGCCAGCTTCCATGTTGGAGCTGCCTTATGGAGAAACTCACATGGCAAAGAACCAAGGGAGGCTTTGGCCAACAGTCAGTGAGGAACCGAAGCCCTCAGTCCAGTAGCTGTGAGTAACTGAATCCTGCCAACAACTATTTGAGTGAGCTTGGAAGAGGACCAACCCCAAGCTGAGCGTTAAAATGATTTGAGCCCCTGCTAATACTTTAATTGCAGCTTCGGAGAGATCCAGAGACAGAGGTCTCAACAAGTTACACCTATCTGGATTCCTGATCCATAGAAAATGCTAGATAATAAGTGCTATTTTAAGCCACTGAGTTTTGGGGTAATTTGTTGCATGGCAATAGATAATACAGCGGATGTATGATCTGTATGGGGTCCTGGCCACCAAGATTAGTCACCGCCACTCTGCAGCCACATGAATCAAGAAGGGAAGCTCCAAGTGTTCTGGAGCTTGCCCCTTTCTGCCTCGTGCTTCCACCGGCAGGACTGAGGATGTAGGCAGAGAGCCTCTGAAAGTAAAGGGAGCCTCAGAATTCCGTGGGTTCCTTGTAAGAACCTCTTCTCTCCTTCCTTTACCAATATTCATAACCTCAATGCTACCATCTGCCTTGAGACTATCAACCCTTTTTCTTTATGCCTTTCATACCCTTGCTTACTTTGGTTACCACAGGGTGGGCTCCAGAGCATCTGTCACTTCCTGGACTCTCCTCCCCAGTCAGCTTTGTACACGTTCATTTATATCCGTCTCTCTTAAACCTTCCCGCCTTCAACCCAAATTCTTTAATCTATTCTACTGGGCCTCTTGGAAATTACAGTCAGACATTAGCAAATCTACATTCCCAAGATATTTTACTCATCTCCTTGAACTGTCATTCAATGTCATAACTGCTGGGATGTCAAAATGCACAGAGATTGTCTTTCCAGGACTTTCTGGCCTCTTAGTTCCTAAACTTCTTCTTTTCCAAAGATCTTGTCCTCCATCCTACCTCAGTCACTCGTTTCCATGGTTATACAAAAGTGATTCTCAACCACTGAAAGTATTTACAAACACTGTTTTAAGTCACTGTTTTGGGGGGCAAGATTATAGGACCATTTAAAGTTGTCTTAAGCACTTGGAAGTTCTATGGCATTTAACGGGCAGAGGCCAAAGGTACTAAATGTCCTGTAATGTGGATCCCACTCTAAATATCAAAAGCACCTGCACTATTATCAGCAACTACTGCAATCTTTCCGTAACTCTAAGCATCTTCCTTTTCTATCACTACTTATCTTTCCAGCTCACTCCCTTTACTTAGTACTCTAACTCCAAGACTTCTCTGACACTCAAAATTTGTTGATCCTATCCCTTCCTCATGTCCTTATTTCCCTCTGAACATATTTTGGATCCCACGGCCCATCATTATAATTGCTCCCTTCCTTGTGTACACCCTGCCCTCCTTTACTCTACTTTCTGGGCAAACCCCAATTCTAGTTAAATTCAATTCTCCACCTTTCTGTGATTGTACAATTGAATATACCTGTAGGAAAACACACAACCATCTGACTGTTCTCACTGTAAATTCATGACCACTAACCTCAAGTGGGCCCTTACTGCTGTCTGACAATTCAACTTTATTTCCCAAGTCCAATCACTCTTCTATTCTTTTAACTATTTCATTCCTTCTCCTCTCTCTTGAAACTTCTAACACTTCTTCCTGTTCTCACTCAAGTGTTGACTTTGCTTCCTAAGAAGACAGAAGCAACCAGATGAGAACTTTTACAAGCTCTCACCCCAAGTACCCATTTACCTGCACCTGTGCCCAAACACTCTGCATTCGCTCCTGCTAAGTGGATGAGCTAAGGTAACCTGTCCAGATGCGCACTAGATCTTATATGCCTTCTGAAGGGCACTGCTTCAGCAATTCTTTCTTACATTATTATTTTGTGATCTTTCCATATTTGGATCACTCTTAGCATATGTACTGTAAATTCTCCTATCAAGAAAAAAAAATCCCTTTGGATCTTTTATCCTGGATCATGACTATTTAATATTTGAAAAGAAGTTTAAAATTAGACTACTTGCCCTACAAGATATCAGGATTCCTTATAAAGTTACCATAATTAAGAAAGTGTAGTACTGACCAAAGGGACAGAATAGAGAACCCAGGGAGAGGCCCATGGCTATATGACAGAAAGGAAAGGAGAGATTATTTAATAAATGGTGCTGGTTAAATAGCTATGGTATGGGAAAAAATGCAGTGGGATCCTACCTCATACCATACATAAAATTCCAGATGGGCTAAACATTAAAATGTTAACAACAAAACTCTACAATCTTAAAAGGAAATACAGGAGACATTATCTTTCTGACATTAAAAAGTTTGACTACAATAAAATTAAAAAAGCCTGTTCACTAGTAGGTATCATAAAGAAACTGAACAGATAAGCCACAAATTTGGAGAAGATATCTGTAATGCATATGGCCACCCATGTTAGCTAGAATCCAGAACAGATAAAGGAGTTCTACAACTCAATAAGAAAAAAAAATCCAATTGGAAATGGGCAGCAAACCAAAAGCAAGCACTGCACAGAAGAGGGAACATGGATGGTCAATAAACATAAGAAAAGAAGCTCAGCCTCATTATTGATCAAAGAATCACAAACTAAGACTATAATTTACACCCACTATATTGACAAAAATTGTGAAGTCTGATAATGCCAAGTTAGTTACAGGGAACTCATACACTGATGGTGGGAGTATAAATTGGTCCAACTACAAGAAAAATAATTTGGCATTATCTTGTAAAGTTAAAAACCATAAATTCATGACTCAGCACATCCGGTTCTACTTTACATACCCTAAAGAAACCTGTGCAAATGTGCACTAGGAGACAAATATGAGAATGCTCACAGCAACACAGTTATAAATGCAAAAAGCTAGGAACAACCAAAATGCCCATGAATAGGAGACTGGATAAAGAAAGTGCGGTATACTCGTAAAATTGAGTATTATACAGCAATGAAAAATGAGCAAACCACTCTACACATAAGGAATCTTGGAAGCATAGTAGTGAGTAGATGTCATAATTTAAAAAAAAAGCTTTTTCAAAAATAAGCAAAATTCAATTATTATTTAAATATATACCTATACGTTAGGTAGGGGTTAAAATTCTGACAATGAAAGAAAATAATGAATATAACACTAGTGGTCATCTCTGGGTAGGAAGAAGATGGGGCCAGGGAAGAACATGTGAACAGATACAAGTTATCATTATGTTCTAGTTTTTGGGTTAAGTAGTAGGTATTCTTTAGAATACTATGCTTATTCCTTGATACTTCTTTTGTGTATAAAAATATATTAAAAATAGGCTAAAAATAAAAAGAGCTCAGGCTCTTGCTTCAAATTACAGCTCCTATGAGCTGTGTGACCCTGGGCCAATCCTTTCAGCCTCAGTTTCCCAGCTACCTCCTGGGACTCATGTAAGGATTAAATGCACACACAATATTTAGCACAGGGTGTGGCACACGGTAAAAATGTGAGCCACTGCTACTCTGCCTCTCTTGCTGTTTCTCACTTTTAGTAGCAACTATTCTCGAGGTGCTTTAAGATATTAAAGTAGAAATTGTTTCACTAACAGAAAAATGAATCTACAATGAAAGAGACACAGAGTGGGAAGCCATCAGTAGTATGTAACAGTTGAAACTGTGAGTGCATAAGATGGACACAGAGGGAGGTTTCAGAGTAGAAGTGTGCCACGACAGACAGACAAAAGTGCTCTAGAAAGAGACTGAGAAGGAACTGGGAGAAGAAGAGACTGGTGATCTGGAGGCAATGTCAGGAGAAAGTGGCTAATGGTATTAAATGTTGCAGAGTGAAATAAAGACTAGAGGAGACGCTGGATTTGGCAAGAGGATCACTAGGGACCTTTATGAGAGCAGTTTCAATGAAATGGTCAAAGAAGAAACAAGAGTGCCATGGGTTGAAGCATGAGTAGGAGGTGAGAAAATGGACACTGAGAGAAAAGAAAACTGTTTTAAGAAGTCAGAGATGAAGAGAAATGTGAAAAGAGTAGGCTATATGGTGGAAGGGAGGTATCTTTAAGGTTAAGGGACATCTGATACCATTTACAGGCAGAGAGCAAGAAGCCAGGAGAAAAGCAAACAAAGGTCTAGGAGAGAAAGGGGACAACTGATGGTGTGGCCTTGGAGAAAGGAGGAGGGGGTGATATTCTGGACTCTGGTAACAGAAAGGTGCAGATCAGTGCTTCTCAAACTTTAATGTGCGTACGAATGGCTTGGGGGTTTAGTTAAAACACAGATTCTCATTTGGCAGGTCTAGGGTTGGGCCTAAGATTATGCATTTCTAAGAAGCCCCCGGGGGTGCTGATGCTACCTGTCTGCAGACCACACTCTGAGTAGTAAGAGTGTAGACTGCCTCTTCCTCTGTCACAGAAAGAGCAGCTAGAAATAAGACTGGCAGTAAAGGGGAGACAAGCTGTGGATTGCTGTGTGCATATGGAAGCTACCTAGGATGAAGGTACAGGCAAGATAAAAAGAAAATCAAATCCAAGTCAGGTACTCAAACCTTCAGTGACTGTTAGCAGGCCTCTGTCTCTGGGAGAGCTGCAGGCAAAGGCAGTGACAGAGGACTAGTTACTGAAGTGAGGTCAACAGAAGGAAGATAGGCAGAGGACAAAGCAAAGCTGAGCTGGGTGAGAGGAGTAAGGGAACAGTCAGAAACAAAATTAACTTGAGAATAATTATTGGTACTGGATGCAGGAGGAGACAGTTGAGAGGTAAACAGTATTGACAAGGGTGGGCAAGAACTCAACTGAAACCAGAATTTAAAGAGTAGTAACAGTATATTCTATGGGCATTGTTTTAAAATGACTTGCCACTGTCCAATTAGTCTTCATATGAGTCTCTATGGAGACTCATGGAAAATGACCAGGGGCAAAATTTGCCTTTACTAAAACTTTTACAAAGATGGACTTGCCTGTGACTGTGAAGTTAACAGAGGTTAATTAACAAAAGTTAACAAGATTCAAAGTGAACAAGTTTTCCCTTTGGATACTTTAAATATCAATATTCACATATTTAAATATTTAAAATCTCCATGGGTATATTAAATGAATCACTGCCTCTAGGGAAGAAGGACAGTATAAAATGCCCTATTTTGAACATGCTATTCATTTTATAATAAAATAAATGCAACTGTCAAATTTTGAGGTGGCATTTCATAATTTTAATGCTTCACACCTTACTTTAAAAAACTCTCAAGTTGTTGAAGTTGGTTTAAAAAAGGAATAAACCTGTTCATAGAGTTCCAAACTGATAGGCAGGTGTAATTCCCACCTGGCTCTCTTTTGTCCTCAGACTCTAAGCATCTAATCACTTATTCAGGAGCTGTGAATGAACGTACATGTCAAGCTGAGAATGTTTTTTTATTCATTTACTAAGGCAACGTTCACTAATGCTGAGATATGAATCCTGTTCTAAGGCAAAATGTCTTCTAGGTTAATAGATTAGAAAAATTACAGGTATATATTTACCCCTTCACTGGTTTTTTGCAAGTCTGAAGTTGTGTTTCTTGTGTCATTGCCGGCATCTCCACCCTCAGAGCTGCTTTTATTTTCTTCTTCTTTGCAGTCCTTGTCATCTTCATCTCCTGGAGATTTCCGGGACTGTTTAGAGGATTTCTAAATGTTTAGACAAGTTAAAAATTACAGTCAAAAGCAGAAATCCAAATGGACAAGTGTAAGTAAGAAATGCAGAAGTAGCTGACCTACATCCCGTCTTTGTGGCTTGATACAGGATATACCAATACAACATGCAGTGTGTGAAGACCATGCTAGGTGACCTCGCAAGTCATTTCACCTCCCTAGGCCTCAGTTTAACCAGCTAGACAGGAAGTAGAGGTGGACTAGATGACCGTTTAGCTCTTTCTAGCCGTGTGACAGTATAAGTAGAAAATAAAGATTCACAACCCTAGAACACTGTCAATGAATAAATATAGCTGGATGGACAACATTCTGGGAAGGCTACAGAGCTAGAAGGCACTCTAAAGGTCACCTTGTCATTCCCCATCATTTCATAGCAGAAGCGAGGTTCTTCTAAAGAAGCAAGGTAAACCATCCAAGATACTACATGGAGATTCATTTTGCCTATACTTGTCAAAGCTGTTTGGTTAATGGTATACGTGGAATGATCTTAACAAAACTTTTGTAACACCATGTAATATAAATTAACTTTAATGTTTTAAGTTATGGAGAGTTATTTAAGAACTCCAGGCCATACTGGTGAACTAGCCCCCTTTTTCTTATCATCTTGCATTTGAAATCAGGACGAACTCCAGAAGATGAAAATACAATTATAGTTCACTGCCAGAGATGCTTTGCAGAACAGCATTAAAATGACCACAGCTGGCCCCACTATGCACCTATAAGAAAGTAAAATGTAGCATTTCACTAATATTTCCTCTTTGAGAAATTTCAAGAGTCTGTAAGCATATCACAAATAACAGCTAAGGCAAAACTGATTAAGCCAAATCACTTTTGGTCTTACAGAAATGAACTAGCAAATCGGAGCTTCCTCAGACAATACTTTAAAATGCAACTTCCAAAAAGAAAATATCTTCTAGCTATGTGATACAATATATAATTACATTGCTTTTTTACTTAACTGAAACTACCAACCAAGCCCAAAATGTCAGTTTAAAATGAGGTCATCTTTATTTTTTACATGGAGGGAAAGCAGGAATTTAATACTAATAGTCCAAATGTGGAGTGCTTAAAGTTAAAGTTAAGATCAAGTATGCCAATATAAAAAGTGAAATATGGGGGGAAGGGTATATCTCAGTGGTAGAGTGCGTGCTTAGCATGCATGAGGTCCTGGGTTCAAACCACCAGTACCTCCATTAAGAAATAAAATGAAATAAAATTAAAAAAGTGAAATACTTCTGTTCTCCTCTCCTAGTAAATACAGTATAATTACTGAAATGTAGTAACTGCTTCATACAGTAACTCTCAAATAATAAGTCTTTGATCTGTAGTTCCTACAGATACTAATACACAACTCCCTAAAATTTACAGTGCTTACAAAGGATACTTATGAGTAACCTTACAAATGAGTTTGTTATAAGTATTATAATTTGGTATACATGAACTAGAATTAGGCATTACTATAGTTTTGCTAATGAGTCACATTCAGAATTCTATTAAGAAATCTGGCTGCCAAGCTGTATTTGGTAACCTTGCAAAGCTCTTACTGTGCATATTCAGATCATCGCAATTCCTGTAACTTGGGGGAAGGACCCTTCATTGGCTTCATCTGTGCGGTCTTGAATTGGTTGTGTGCCCAACTGTTTCCATCTCTGTTTTTAACTAAGATGACTAGTGGCTTACTATCATCATCTGGGGGAGGGTATAGCTCAGTGGTAGAGTGTGTACCTACCATGCACGAGGTCCTCGGTTCAATGTCCAGTACCTCCATTAAATAAGTGAACAAACCCAATTACCTTCCCTCCCCCCAAAAAGAATGACTACTATCAGTTTAGTTTGTTGTGAAGCTCTGTGCTTAGCCCTACTTTATACAGTAAGTAACTTGCATGCAAAATATTTTTTTGCTTATAATTTTCTAGTATCTGTTATGGTTCAAATATGTGTCATACATACACTTACTGCTAAAGTGATAGCATCACCTCCCTCAAATGTGTTTGTACTATGGTTTTCATTATGATTACTGAATTTTTTTTCACAGAAAAAGAGAATTAGCTGAGGTAGAGGGGATGTGGGACCTTTCTGGGATGCAGTCAAAAGTTTGTGAACCATTGGTCTTTAGTGGCAAAGGAAGATTATTCAACTTTAAGAAACAAATGTGAAAAAGAACACCATAGTCAACAAAAAGGCAACATTTGGGAAGCCAAAGAGAGCAGTGAGATTATACCAGGTAAGCGGTTCTTTAAATGTCGTTCCCAGATTGGGGACATCAGCCTCACCTGGATATTTAATTCTCGGACTCTACCCTAGACCTACTGAATAGAATTTTGAGCTGGGGGAGGTGACGCTCAGCAATTTGTGTTTTAACAAGCCCTCTGGGTGATTCTGATGCATGTGAAAGTTTGAGAACTGTTGTGCTAGGTTACTCAGTTGATATGAAAAATATATCATGGTTCTCAAGTGATCATGAAAGTTGTGATCTTGAAGGAAAGCAAAGGAAATGATTCTTTAATTTAAAATAGATAAGCCTTAGTAAGTAAGTAAAGTATGTCTTTACCTCTTCACTGCTTTATTTATTTTTAGCATTTGTTTCTTTTTTTATTTTATTTTGTTGTATTTTTTAGTTTTTGGGTTTTTTTTTTGGTGGGGGAGGTAATTAGGTTTACTTACTTACTATTTTTAAAAGAAGTACTGGGGATTGAACCTGGGACCTCGTGCATGCTAAGCATGTGCTCTTCCACTTGAGCTATACTTCCCCCTGTCTTCACTGCTTTAAATTATAAATCTACCCCAGGTTATGAGCCCCATTACTTCTGGTTTTCACAACAAGTAATGAAATAATGACATTTAAGAGCCACATATCCATACTATTACATATCTTGGTTACTTAGATAGCTTAAATAATTTAGGGTGCTACAACACATTACATAGAAGCTCAGCTTTTAAGGCAAATGACATGTTTTTGGTTAGGTGTACAGAAAGTAATATGCATTCCTACAATTTTACCTGTATGCCAGCTGGGTTGATTGTATAGACTGTAAAATAAAGTGTTGCTAGTCTAATAAACTCTTGGTTCTTGTTTTTGAGGAGTTTCTTGAGTATATCCAGCCACTAAATACCAGAATCTAAATGAAAGTAATTTATCCATGTATTCATAACTGTGTGACAGACCAATTATAGTAAAACTTCTACCAATCTTTGATCTTTAAAGATCCATTTATCTCATTTTTGGTTTCTAAAAAGTTAACAACTTCCACAGTCTCATAGTTTTTCAACTGTTATTTCTGAATTACCACATGAAAAACTTAAATTTTCAATTTGTACATTGAGGATCATGTCATGCTTCCGTTTAAAACCTCCAATAAATTACTGATACATTTGGGATAAAATCCAAAGCCCTAAACATGGCACACCAGGCTCTGTTATTTAGCCTCTGCCTGCCTCGCCCTCCTGATCATGATTCTCCAGTCACGCCAGCCTCCTTCCAGTTCAGGACGTATCTGACTCTTCCCTGCCTTGGAGCTTTGCTGCTCGGCCACTCATGGCTCCTCCTCCCATACTCTTCTTTTAGGTGTCAGCATAAGCTTTATCTTTTCAGGAAGGCTTGGCCACTCTACCTTAACAGGTACACATACCCTGTCATTCTCTGTCCCATTCATTTCCTTCATGGGCCTTTCAGAGTTTCTATTTATTTACTGTTTGTTTACTCTGTTTCCACCCCCATCCCCAACCCACTGTACTGTAAGTTACATAGGGTAGGGATGGAACTGGATTTGCTCATCACCGTATACCTAGTACAAGTGTCTGACATAGAATAGGTGACCAGGAGATATGAGAACTGAACAAATAAAGAGACAAAGCACATTCTTTTAAGCAGAAAAAGCAAGAAAAAGTGTATCTTTATATTTATATCTATAGTATTAGACATAGCCTGAAACTGTACTGAGTCTCCTATATTCCTTAACTCTTCAGAGCTCATCTGGGAGTTACTATAGGAGGAATACCTACTCTTATGTACTTGATTAAAGAATAATTCTCCCCTAAACTGAGAAGGTGGTATTTTCAGGGCCAAATAGCCCTGATGAGTCACTAGCAATTACCATCACATCTAAGATTACCTGTCTAATTCCCCTCAGATTTATGACTGTCTCTAAAGGCAGAGGCTCCACAGAGCTAATATATTTCTACACGCCCAATGAATGAATTAAAAATCATCTAAAAACTTTTTAACGACTATGCATATAACATTTAGTAACACTGGGAAAAGTTTCTCAGTAACCTTTGAAGTATATGACTTTTTCCGTTTTGAGCCTGCTTTTTCATTCTTTCTTTTGCCTTTTCCATCTTCTTCTACTCTATCACCTTCTTCCTCACTGCTTGCATCTGCAGTATTCCCGCCTTCTCCCTCAGTTTCTGAAGAGCTCTGTTGCTGAATTGCCTAAGAAATAATAAAATATTAGCTAATTACATTTTTGAAAAACAGCAAAGAACACAGACTGTGAAAATAACCATTCTATTTTAATTTTAAAAAAGTTCAGCTTACTCAAGATTTTCAAAATAAAGGGCTGTCAACCTCAATTTTCCAGTGATCACTTGACTTGAACCCTCTTGGGTAAAGAATTACAGGCACACCTCGGTGCGAGTTCGGTTCTAGATCACCACAGTGAAGAGAATTTTGCAATAAAGCAAGTCACAGAAATTTTTTGGCTTTTCAACGCATATAAAAGTTATGTTTATACTCTACTGTAGTCTATTAAGTGTGCAACAGCATTATGTCAGAAAAAAACCAGCAACGTACATACCTTAATGTATCTTGCCTTCTTATTTAGACCACTCAAATTTTCTCCATATCAGTGATAAGCCTGTTTCGCTTTCTTAGTATTCACATGTGTTCACCAAAGTAGCACTTTCAATTTCCTTCAGGAATTCTTCCTTTGCACTCACAACTTGCATAACCGTTTGGCACCAAGAGGCCTATAGCTTTTGGCCTATCCCAGTTTTTGACATGCCTTCCTCACTAAGGTTAGTCATTTCTAGCTTTTGATTTGAAGTGAGAGATGTGGGATTCTTCTTTTTACTTTAACACTTTGATGCCACTGTAGGGTTATTAACTGGCCTGACTTCAATATTGTTGTGTCTCAGGGAAAAGGGAGGCCCAAGGAGAGGAAGATAGGAAAGTGGCTGATTAGTGGAGCAGTTAGAACACACACATTTATCAATTAAGTTCACTGTCTTATGTGGGTCTGGTTTGTGGTGCCACAAAACAATTACAGTAGTAACATCAAAGATCACTGATCACAGGTCACTATAACAACTACAAGAATAATGAAAAAGTTTGAAATATTGTGAGAATTACTAAAATGTGACACTAAGGCATGAGGTGAGTAAATGCTGCTAAAAAAGGGTGGGGGGCTGACAGACTTGTTCAATGTAGCACTGTCACAAATCTTTAATTTGTAAAAAATGCAGTATCTGTGAAGTGCAATAAAGCAAGGTATGCCTGTACATTTAATCCAAAATGCTACTGGAACCAGAAAGAATTCTGACTTCAAATGGATGGTGGGTAATTATTACTACAAAGTACATATAAGAAAGATTCAAAAAGGAGTTAAAACCAGAAAAATGAGATACAGCAAGTGACAATGAAGTAAAACATTACCTGGTATCCAGTAAACTTTACTCCTGGGTTATTTTCTATTTCCCATAATCCTTCATTAAATCCTTTCCGTTTGTTTGACTTTCCAAACTTGTCTTTGTATTCCTTATAAGGGAAAAGGTCTTTGGGACCTAGAAATGCACTGCAGAGATACATTAGAAAGAGAATTGACACTCTGACCTTCAGATGTAAGATATATTTAGTATCAATATCAACTCAGGTGTCAGAGAATATTTTAGTAAATCAATTAAAAGTATATATAAACTCTCCGAATTAGGCACATATCACAAGATGTTTTACACATATACTTCAAGGCATAAAAAAACGGATAGTTGGTTACCCAAGCCAGCAACCCTGAATTGTGTTACTTTGACTTTACCTTTAAATTACTAATTACTTTATTGTTTTGAAATTTATTTTTAGTTACGTAAGTAGTTTTAAAGATGTCTACTTTGACCACTTAAATCATCACCTTAATATAAGACAACCTATGCTAATCTTGCACAGGTAAGGGTTTTGTGAGACTTACAGTAAAAACATAAACACTGTATTAAAAAATTGCTGTAACTCTATATGCCATATTAGTATATTTATTCACTATTTTTATAAATTAAGAAATTATATTAATGTTTAATGAGGCACTACACACAAAAAATTAGAAATGGCAAAGTAGATAGAATCTTATCCAGTTTAAATTGTATTCTAAATTAATCATAATTGCAAAACAAAATGAGTTAGAATAAATCCTGTCGCTGGCTAATAGATCCAAGAATTCAAACCAGCATCTCAGCATTATTATCTATGATATTAACCTGGTGAATGAGATGGTGGAGGCCCACATTCTGGCTGAGACCCATTTCAAACTGAGATTCATTTAATCATTTACACAATTTTTATTGAACATCTCTAATGTGTCAGACACTATTTCAGAGGTGCTGGGGATTCCCCAGGGAACAAAGAGATAACATCTCTGCCCTCGTGGAGCACGCATTCTAGTAGCAGGGGTAGGGGTTTAGACAATTGAAAAGATAAATAAATAAATAAAATACATAGTACTGTGTACTGAAAATAAATATATAAATAAAGCAGAGAAAGGACTCGGGGTAGATTTTACAGTTTTAGATATACAGATCAAGAAGGAAGACTTGAAAGGCGGTGAAAGAAAGAACCCATGCAGTTATCTGGGGGAGAGCAGGGCAGACTGAAGGGAGAGCACGTACAGAAGACCGAGCTGTGAGAGTGCCTCGTGTGTCTGAGACTAAGGGGCCAGTGCGGCTAGAGTGAGATGAGTGAAGAAAGAGCTGTGTGAGATGAGGTCAGAGAGGTAACGATTGGGAGCACAGGTTATGCTGGGCCTTGGAGGCCACTATAAAGGCTTTGAGTCAGATGGGAAGCCATTAAATGGTCTGAAAAGAAAGTGACAATTTCTGTTTTATCAGGATCACTTTGGCGCTGTGTTGAGGCATTGGACACTAGGGTAGAAGTAAGGATGGTGACTTGGACAGGGTGTAAGCAGTGCAGTTGGTGAGAGGTGCCTGGATTCTGAATTCACTCTCAGTAAAGAGATGAGGTGATTTGTTGATGGGCTGGATATGGCTTGTGACAGAGAGGGTGGAGTTGAGGCTATCTCCAAAGTTTTAGACTGAAGACTTAGAAGGGAGTTGATATTTACTGAAATGGAAAATTTTTTGAGAGAACAAAATTTGAAGGTGGAAAGCTCAATTTTGGATGTTAATTTGAAAACTTAATTAGACATCCAAGTGAAGATGTCAAGCAGGCAACTGGGGAGGTGATTCTGGAATTCAGGGGAAAGATCTGAGCTGGAAATATGTATCTGGAAATTATTAGCAGAGATTATCACTTAAAGCGTTGAGATGACAGGTTAACAATTTACTGTTGATCTCTGTAAATTCCATTTTCTGACGGATCTTAGTATTGATCCCTTACATTGCCCAGCTGATCGAAAACTCAAGTTGATAAAATCACCTGAGGAAGCTTTCTGACTCCAATCACCAAACCGTCCTTGATTGTTCACCTTTACCTGTTCAGCATGATTGCATTTCATTGAATCCAGAAATAGTTTACTAGGTTACTGGACATTTTAATCAAATGCCTGACAAACTGAGCATGAGAAGGAAATGTGACTCGAGTATGGTAATTTCACTTTTAGAGAAATTTGAGATGAGTAATTAGACTGTGGCTTTTGACCCTTCTCTAGCCCTTGAGTCTGTATAGGAATTAATTGCGGGCTAAGCTGTCTGAGGTTCACGTCAGCTACTGATGCTAACCAGAGCTCGTCTATAAGGATACTTAAGCATTAATAAGGTTAGTGATTAAACTGGCCATGTTAGCTGTTGCCAGAAAGAGGGACGCTGAATGAACTATTCTAAAACAAGTTCCTACTTTTGATAGACAATTTTGGTTTTTCTTGTATTATACGTAATTCCACAAATCAAATTCCCTCTCAACTGGTTAACTCTGCTGCACATTTTAAAAAATTTTAAAAGGCAGAAACTACTGGGGTTAAGTAATATGGAGCAAAAGAACTTGGGGCTCCAATAACCTATCTGTCTGAGCATTAGAACTGACTGAAAGACATGTTCTGAGGAAAATTCTGGTCCTGCCTAGGGGTGCTCCTTTGGCCGACACAACTTTATTGTTAAGTTCCTCACCTTTCACATACTTTCCCCTCTTTTATTTATTTCATTGAATTAATTTTAATTCATTCAACAGCTATTTTTTTAAACACCTACCATGGGCCAGGCACTGTGTATACAGGGCTTAGCAACATCCACATGGTCTCTGCCTTCACAGAGAGGTTGAATATTAGGTACCTGCCAGGGCATATAACCTCGGGTTCAGGGAAACCCAATACCTAGTAAATGATCGGCTGAAACAATGTTATGACAGGTTTTCTGAAGTTCATTCTCTTCTAGATGTTTTAAAATCTACCTATGGATGATGAAACCAGCAAAAACCTCACACACGGACTGTATCACACTGCTCCTTGGCAGAATTACTTTTACTGAATTGAGCCCTGGAATGATGCCATTGACTTCTATTAAGGACGTTAAAGAAACAGCTCTATAAAATCCTTCATACTATTCACTGGAATGATTCTGTTACATTTACTAGCAATATATCAGGTGGCGAGCTCTTTAAGGTACCTTTTTATTTTCAGTGCCTTAATGAATACCTAGAAAATGTTTACTAAGTGAATGAAAGTTACTACATAATATAAGTAAATGGTTGATTTTGGTGTATATAGTGGAAATGTGATAATCTTGTTTATTAAATCCTGCCTTGTTCCAGATATACAATCAGATATTAGAATTAGGTCCTGAAGAAAAAGTAAAATAATGGTATATACAAAAAATGGAGGTGGCAATGAGGCAAATACAAAAATAAGTATCACAGAGCCCTATGCACTTATTACTCTAGGTAAAATATTTCTAAACTTCTAGCAACTTCTTAAAGGAGAAAAACATGTTAAGTTGCATAGTCCACAAATGTCTATTAAATAAAAACAAAACAAAGAAACAAAACTAACTTCTTAAAAGAAACACAGCTATTTCTCACATGAAGATAAGAAAGAAATATGTCTTAAGGACCCTCTCCTGGCTAGCTCCCTTTCAAGACCAGAATGAGGAAGATGTCAGAGTGGTAGAGACAGCAAGCTAAGAAAAAGTTCATGCTTGACTCTGCTAATATTCAAATGAACAGGGATGACTCTGAATTTGAAGGCTTAGAAGATTTCATCACAGTTTTCAGCTCCCCCCCGCCATTTGCCATTCCTATTCCATTTGTGTCCTTATTGTAAATAACCATATACGTTCTTAGCAGGTCAAATTGCCTACTGTTCCCTAGTATCCATTAACTTCTTCTTTCTTTTAATGGATTACTCCTCCCATTTTTCCCCCTCAAAAGAGCTGCCTAGCTAGAGACTATTTCCCAGCTTCCCTTACAGCTAGATGTTGCCATATGACCAAGTTCTTGCTACTGGAATAAATGTAAGTGACACATTCAACTTCTGTGTCATTTCCTTACCTCTTCTCTTTTTCCCTCCCCTCTACCTGGAAGATGCACAGGTGCTACTGAGCTAGTTTCTGCTTTTTTGTTTTTCCTAATAAGCAGACAAGGGCAATCCCCCAGGGACAACATAATGGAAGGATCCTGGGTCCTTAGAGCAGAGCAGACTACCCACCTTGATCTAGCTGCCTATTTCTGGATTGTTTTCCAAAAAGAAGTAAATTCCTATATTATTTGAGACATTCTATTTTCAGGTTTCTTTATTAAACAGTTTTACCTGTACTCTGACCAATTCAATTACAAAACCTTAAAAAGGTGTTATGTTTGCTTCAGAGTCCAACAAATTCAAAGAGCCTGAGAGAACATAACTTTATTCTGTGAAATATGCATGGATGAAATTTCTCCAGAAGGGAAATATACAAGAGCTATAAAAGAAATTACTGGAAATGGTATGGAGACTACCCTAGGACTTAAAAGTGTCCTAAAAGAAACTTCTGGGTGATATCCCAATATTTAAGTAGAAACAGAAATGATATTCAAAAGCAAAATAAAGGAAAAGTGTTTACAATAAGAAACATACATTATCTTGTTAATTTTATGTAATTGATTATAATCATTTTAACAACATATAAAATGTTGTAGATTATTTATAAATAATGTAGTCTAGCAGAATCAAATTAGAACTGTTGAAACTTAAGCTGTTTTGTTGACTTACGTTTCATGGGTGCCAAAAAAGAAGATAGGATACTTATTTGCTGGAGGCTTCACAGCTCCCTCTGGGAGTTCATCAATCTATTAAAGATAAAATCATGTAAAACAGCATAAACATGATATAGACATTATTTTGATAATTTATTGCCAACTTCAAAATAAAGTTACTCTAATAAAAATCTCAATAGTTTTCCTCTCTTGACCCTTAAAAATTGATTGTAAAGGTCATATTTGGCACACCATATGGAGAGTAACACTGTAAACTGATTATAATGATTATGGTAATACATAATCAGGAGCCCAAACTACTCATTTCCTTAGACTCAACAGAATTATTCTTGGGAATCTGTCCTAGTGAAATAATTCAAAAGAGTAACAACAAAAAGAAACAGAAAGATGCACTTTGAGGGGATAACAGCAAATTTTTACACACACACATATACACACACACACAAAACCAAATATACAACCTCCTCCCAAAACATAAGCATTACCAGATAGGAGAATTATGGACAATTAACTGAAAATATTATATAGTCATTAAAAAATATCTCTTGCCTAGACTACTGTAAGTCTCTCCTTACCCACTGAAGCTGTAATTATCTTTTAAAATGCATATTTGATTGTGTCAAATTCTGCAATAGTTTCTCATTGCTTATAGCATTCCTAGCTGTGCATCTGAAACCTCTAGGGCTTTTAAAAAATAAAGATCTTCAGTCCTTCCCCAGACCTACTAATTCTTATGTACAGCTGAGATTGAGAACTTCTAATAGGATAAAGTTCAAATTTCTTAGCATGTATCAAGAAATGGCCCTAGACTCTCAAATCTTCAACCTTTCCTTTGAATCCCAGGCATGAAATTACAAATGCCTATAAACCATTTCCATTCGGAGGTCCTACAAGCAGCTTAAGCTAAAGAAAAGGCTACACATAGAAGAGGTACGTATGTAGTTCAGAGGGGAAGGAAAAGGCTCTGGTATCAGCGTCTTGAAGAAATCTGCAGGTCTTCCTAACTAACATAAGGCAGTAGCCTGAGGATTACTACACCATCACAAGTTCATCTCTGAACTGAATGAACCATGTGTCACACAGCAGATGCTCTGGCGTCCTGAGAAAGATGGACTTTGACTCTAGAAATCTGTAGTTAAGTCCTACTTCTGAGTTAAATTGTGATATCAAAGGTATCACTTAATGACTCACTTCTGTAAAGTGAGATAGTTGCACTAAGTAATCTTTAGGTTTCCTTCAAGTCCCGAAATTCCATGCCTTGTCTAAAACTGAATTTTCTCTGAATCTGCTTCTGTTTCCTAGCTTAAGTACTGGGATACTCTGTTACCAAGAAAGAAACCTTAATCTTTTTATTATTTCTTCAAGCTCCATATTCTGTTTTTCACCGAATTCTGCCAATTTGGCTCCTGAAATGTCTCCAAATTAATCACCATTCCCATTAGTAAATTTAGTTCCCTAAAATAAGTTCTTGTGATCTTTTGAGAAGGCCATCATAGCAGCCTTTCAAAATATCTCCTTGTCTCTAGGCTTTCCCCTGCTACCTGCTATACAATTTCCGTGTGAACCTTGAATGTGTTACATTCAATACACTACCCTACAAAGACAATGTTAAACAAATAATTTCATTTTGAATAAAATTCAATTTATATTCAATTACATATGTACACACACACACATATTACTGTGGTAAAAAATACATTAACATAAAAATTTCCATCTTAACCATTTTAAAATTTACAGTTCAGTAGTGTTAAGAATATTCAGTTATGAAACAGATCTCCAGAAAATGAATGACTATATTGTAAATGGACAAACAGAACTTAAAATGGAAATGCATGTCTATGTATGTGAGAGACACTGAATTGCTAGTTGACAAAACACTATCGCACCTTTTTTTTTCACTTTTGTGGGAAAACTGAAAGTGAATGTTTTTTTTTTAAAAAAACTTCTAAAACTTTTCTTAAAAAAAAACAAACACAACTTTTGGTTAAATTCTTCCTTGCTATGTTATATAACTAACATCTACTGTAGAAGTTGCAAACTGATGGTCCTTGTGCCATTTCTGGCCTGAAGATATGTTTTGTTTGGCTCACACAGTGTTTTTTAAAAACTGAATTAGTTATCAACACTTTAAAACTGGAAGATTCAAATTAAAATCCAGATTAATAGTTTCTGTAAAAAAAAATACTGAAGACAGCGCTAGGCAACACTAAGCCTGCATTCCCAGAAGGCAACAATTAGCTGAAGATGATCAACAGCTGCCACCTTTAGATAAGGTATGTTCTCTCAAGTTGGTTACAGTCCCCACCATTCTCTAGGTTATGATGTAAACGCCTGCTTCCCTTGCCCCTCTAAATATTTGAGTTCATTCCCCCTGTGATAAATATTGTCAAAAACAGTGACCTTACCATCATGCTGGTTCCCTCATAAAGGTGTTAAATAAATGTTGGCATGCACTGACTATATTTTATTAAGAGTCTTGTTTTTGACTGTTCTGAAAATTCTACTTTGACAATTTTGGAATTATACCAATTGTTCAAGTGGATACAACTTCTTGAACCAATTAAAGAGTGCACCTCCCAGGCACTGTTTCTTTTGGCATCTAGAGTGAATACCAAGCAGCAACAGAACTTGATCTTCGGAGTTTCTGTTTTTCTACTGTGTCTGTTTCCCTGAATTTATTTTCACTTTTCTTTCTGGTTCTTGGCTATGTTTGGTTCTGATTCTGGTTTGCACACAGTCAATGTGTTATTTCCCACAATAGGAGGATGGAGACCTATTCTTTTTCGGATATGACAGCGCAAAGGATCAGGCACATTAGTTTTTTGGCTTGTAGAAAAATAAGTCTTGCTTCTACTGGAGAGAAGAAAAGCCCTTTGAGATCTAGATCAGTGAGCGTATTTTGTGTTTCCTTTAACTTGTAGCTGAAGTTGTAGACCTGAAGCCGTAAGCTCTCAGTGTGTATATATTTTAAAGAGTCTTTACCCTTCCCTGTGTGAGCTTGAAACATTTTCCAACTTCTGGGAAGGGTATTAACAAATTAGATATAAATTTCTTAAAATGAAAGAGCTCTTTTTAAAATTAATTTGTAGATACTAATAGACTTACAGAAATCTAATATAAAGGGATGGACGTAAGAATCCCCAGGAAGTTTAAAGTGAATGTAGAATACTTCAAATATGGTGGCCTTTTTGCTATTGATCTTTGTCTGCTTTGCTCACTGCTTTGCTCACTATCTCTTGGAGTCTACAACTCTACAGCCCCGTGGACTTGGGGCCTGGAGGGAGGTAGCCTAGAAAACTTGTTCTCAGAGTGTTATCCCTGGACCTTCACCATCACTGTCACGTGGGGACTCACTAGAAATGCTAGTTCTCAGTCCAGAACCCAGATAAACAGATTCAGACACTTTGGGGGTTAGGCCCTAGAATCAGTGTTTTAAGCATCCAGCTGTTTTCAATACACGTTATGACATTCCATCTTCCAGCTGTGGTTCCTGTGGTTGAGTTGTCTTTGTTTCTTGTGATTAATGAAAGTCTGCTTAAATCTGCAGGAGTTTTGCACTGCAATTGCAAAATTGCATCAGTGCATGTTTATTTTTCTAATACTTTCAAAAATGTATAAAATGTCCAATTTTCTTTTTATCAAAGGAGTACTACACTAAATTAGATGGGGTGGCCTTTTAAGGAAAAAACTTCTCACAGAAACTGTTAGCTCAGAAGCATTTTCATTTAAGAATCCAAATTTAAGTAATCAAAGTGAATTCTTGAAGAATTCACACTGGTTGATAATTTTGGTTTAAAAACAACTATATGTCTTTTAACCATTATAGTGTAATACAAGCAAATTTAAAAAAAAAATTTGAGTTTCTCATGAAGATACTAGTTTACATCTGAACTTCTGAAATCTCCTGATAAGCTAATATTACTTCTGTATAATGTTTAAGATTAAGGAAAATGTAAACTTAAATTATAATTCTGACAAACTTTTCTATGTCAACAGTAATTATGTTCTGTGGTGTGTTATAATTTCCAAAAGTTAACTTTAAGACCTTGGACTAATATTAAATTGAGATAAAGGATAATCTTTGCAAACTTGAATAACTTCTGAGTAAGACAGAATACTTGGTCACCAAATACAGTTCTAACATATATATGATTTAATTTTATATGTCATGTAACAGAAAGGATATGTGTATTATGTGTATCCATGAGCTTTGCTGGTTTGCTAAAATACTTCTTTCTATGACAGAAATTTCTCAATGTCTCTGTGAAACATAAGTTAGTTACTTGGGTTAAGTAATAATTAATATGGAGACGGAGACTATACTAAGAAAAACAGTGACCCAGACGTACAACCATGTATGCAAGGTAATGAATGCCATGTGTTCTTGTTTATTAATGGGAAAAGATTAATTTTGTACTTGAAGTAAAGTATCTAGGTTGTTCCAAAATGTGAAAGAGGATAATGAAGGGCAAATCTGGATGAATATTGAAAGCTTTAGAAGGTATGTGGAAAGGGAAATTAATTTGCCTTGGATTATAACTACAAATAATAGTCTAAAATATGCAATGAAAAATTAAAAGTTTGCCAAAGCTGGCTCAGTTTTGATGGATTTATTCATAAGATTAAAAAAGGAAAGCTTATAAATCCATTAATGTCAAATATTTATTAATACAAAACCAGAATTTGGTTTTCTGTTAAAATAACAAATTGGTCTTGGAGTATTGTCTGTTCTTAACAAGATATGGTAAAAAGGTTATTCTTCACTCTCTGAATAATCTGCACAGATATCAGAGATGTCATACCTCACTAGAATCTTGGACTTTGTTCTGACTCTGTCATATCCTTTAATTTTGGGGGGGGGTAATTAGGTTTATTAATTAATTAATTAGTTTTTAATGGTGGTACTGGGGAATGCACCCAGCACCTCGTACATGCTAGGCATGCACTCTACCACTGAGCAGTAACCCCCCAACCCTTAAATTTGTTTTTAAACAAACAATAAAAATGCCTTTAAAAAGTTACAGTTCTTTAAAAAAAACTGAGTTACCACCGTCTATGTTAATTTAAAACATTATATTGTTACTTTAAGTTGTTATTCATTATTCTCAGATACCTAAGTTTGTTTCTTAATCAAGAATGAAGTCTCTGATAACTCTTGTGATGCTGGTGAGTTCAGAGTACTCATTATGAAACAGATGATTTGGTTCAGACTGTGGTATAAGACCAAAAACTCAATATTACTTGCAGCCTTAACATTTGGTAAAATTGGGATGGTCCTGAATGGCCCACCTGCAAGTTCTCTTCCCCACTTTGCTCCTGTGGATAAAGTCCCCTAGTCAAAAAATCCTCCTCATCAAAGGGACTAAGTACAGTTTCTCTTTATTCCTGAGTAGCAGGTTTTCGTTCCCTGACAGCCTTGGAATTATTCAAACAAGAAAATCACATGTTCCTGTGGGAACTCCACTCTCTGATACTACAAAGTCTGCCTCCCACTGCCCCGGTTGTTCACACTGTTTCTGAGTGCAACCTTCCAGGTTGCCCTATATGACATTCAGTGTCCTCTTCCTCTGAGGAATCCTCTGTCTCACCAACAGGATGAATAGAAAGTGATTAAAATACAGATGCTGGAGGCAAGAGGTTCCACACAGTGGCTCAAGTGATTTGTGTGGTAGGTTAGCGGTTTCGTGCATTGTAGGAGTCCAGGTGGTAGTTGAGGGTGGGGTTGGGTGGAGGATGACAAGTCCTAAGAGCCAGAGGGCTAGGCAAAGATAACAAGGTCTCTCCCTTGGCAACATCTCTTCTCTCAAAAATGCTTATGGTCCATTCATTCCCTTACTTTGTTCAAATTTCTGCTCAAAAAGCACCACATCAGAGGGCTTCCCCTTACAATCCAACTTAGAATAGCACCTCTTATCCTGTCATTCTCTGTTCTTTTATTCTGCTTTATTTTTATTCTAAGCATATTCTAGACATTAAGCATTTATTTGTTTCTTAACATTAGAAAACAAGCTTTCTGAGAGGGAAACTTGTTTTGTTCACCACAGTAACTCTAGTGCCTAAAGCAGCCCCCGATACACTGCAGATGCATAATAAATATTCCTTGAGGACCAAGGTTTCCTTACTGACTCAGGGTCTGAAGAAGCCTACACCTGCATATGGAGAGAATCAGTGCCCCTGGCTGTGATGAAGAAGAGAAAGGTACATCAAAGAACACTTTCAATAACAGATAACTATGAAAAAGTGTTCTGAGGTTATAGTGTAAAGGAGTCTCAATGCTTAAGAAAATAAGAAAGATTAGCAAACTCCTCTTTGAATATGCCAATAAGAAGGATGTAGGGGCTAGCTGACTAAGAATGTGGAGGGAAAAAGGCCATTTTACCTATGAAAGCTTATGAGGTGAGGATAAATTACAAAGGGGAAAAAAGCTAGTGATCATGTTATAAAATTGATTCAGATAAAGAGAAGCCTACAAATGAGTCAACAAATTTACTGTAGAGGATGATCAGGGAAGCACACGATGGAATAAGGAAACAATCACAAGAGAAAAGGGAAAGAAGTTTTAAAATGGGAGTATGTTTGGCTTAATAAACAGGTAATTAATTAATCCACTAAATATTTGAAAATAACACTTTGTTAGGACCCCAAACATGATAATGAAATAACTTCCAAAATAATATGTTCAAAAATATATGCTGAAAACCAGTCCCTCATCATCTTTAAGAATATAAAAACCATCACCTGTTAGTTGATAGAACAATATTATATTGAAAGACATTTTGTTTGTCACTCAATGAAATTGAACAAACTCCGATTTTCATCTTTAAAAAAATTGTAATTTTGAGAGGCTACAATGCACTTAGACTGCAGGGCTTTTAACTTACTGTAGGCTCTATGTAGGGGGTAGGTCCCTCAGTAGTATGTTACACTGCTGATTCTGGAGGAGGAGCAGATGTGGGGCATTGACTCAACCTCATGTACACCTGAGGAGAGCCGATCTGACAACTGGAAGAACACAGGCTGAACAGTAAAAAGTGAGGGATTTGGTTTATGATCTTCATCTAAGAGCTTCATTTATATCTGCAGGTCCCTCTTTTTTTTTTTAAATAACAGGAGTCACATTTTAAATTGCAATGTCCTCATCTCCATAATCCCTCAACTTTCCCTCAGTCTTCTAAGCAACTGTCCACACAGATTTAATTTTGAACAGGTATAAAAGACACTTGTCTCTAAAGTTTGTTTTAATTTTTAGTGAGGTCAAATATATAGTGGAAGATACTGATTTAAATGTACATTTAACAAGAATCTGATACACGTATATACCCATACAACCAACACCTAATCAAGTATAGAACATTTAAGTCATCTCAGAACATTTCCTCATACTCCCTACCAGTTACTTCCCATCCACCAC